TATCATTGGAATTTCTACAGAGGCACGTGTAGGTGTTTTTCATATAGCTTTGGAAATTTTGCTTAATCGTCAGATTTTATGAGATTTTCGTACTGAAAGTCAAAATGTATAATAGAAGTGACAATTAAGTTGGGAACGAAAAACTTTTATTTTCAGATCACCATCTTGGTGGATGGACTCTCATAGTGTTTCACGTATGGGGTTCTACTATTAGACACATATGTGCCTTACATATGGCGCTTACGTTTTCTGATAATACAAAACAAGCTTGGGTAGGTAAGCAGCTTGAAAATATTAGGCACGCAGTTTGGGAAATACATGTGAATATAGGCGCGCAGTTTGACAAGAAAAATGTTTAAATCACGTTTATGGCGTATTATCGTTTTGAACACAAACTATGCTGCTTTAATCAGATGGAGTGATCCTATATATTCTAGCATACACAGACACAATGGCTGAATAAACGGCAAATGACGATAAAAAGACATAGATATAACTTAACACTGTGAATTTTGAACACAGAAGCTACTTAAGACCCTTATATTGAGATAACTAGGTTTACATCGGGAACAACATTGAGTACTATGAGTAAATTAAGTTCATCTTCACAGAATGGTACTGTCTTTAGAACGAGACTAACCTTGTATTTTTCGTATTCTGGCTCTTTTTGGGAGTCGTGTCCTCCCCGTCTTCGATTTTGAAATATGCGCGCAGTTTGTCAGAGTTTCAAACTGCGTGCCTAGTAGGCACGCTGCTTGACATGGGCATCGTGATGTTTTAAGATTTTTTGCAAGACGTCATTTTATGCCAAAACTGTACGTGTAAATTGCATTCTAAGCATGAATATCGATGAATTAGACATCCTTCATCAATTCAAAATAGATTATGCATTGCATTTCTGTTTCATAAAAACGCAACATTCATTTTTCCAAACTGGCTCCAAGTTGGAACCAATTTACAAATTAGCTATTTAGATTACAATGCATAATCTGTTCTAAATTGATGAATTTTACTTCCGACACTTTGTATGCACCAAACGATTGCAATGGAATTAGCCAAAGGGAAGGAGAGACCAGTGTGGCTGCGGAAGTGAGGTTATATTTTAACTCAAGTGCTGTGCTGAGCATATTGTGAATTTTGAATTTATTTTTATTTTGTCTTTGACTTCTGAGAGTCAACCGAGTTTGACATTTGGTTTAATTTGGTTATTTGGAACATCTATTTTGGTTGATTTTCTTTGATAGAATAATGTCATTGTTGGCTGGTAAAGCTTGTCTGATTTTGATATACTCAGCGCGCAGGTGAGATTTTATATGTGACTTCGACAAGTATTTTTGGACTTACAGAGCGCCACCTTTTCACACTCGCTTTTGAAGGTTGAAATTTATGTTGTTTTAATTGTAAGCGCTCATTTAGCCGCCATCTTACTTAAGCCATTTGTAATCTTTCTGCCATGTAATTTCCTGTGATTTTCATTTGATAGATAAAACTGATGTAAAACCCAATCTAATTATTTATTTACGATTAAACTTTTAAACTTTACTCGACTTGTCGTGTTTTTTGTTTGTAGTCGTTGATTGATGCTTAAGATGAAACAACAGTAAAGTACTCTTATATTTGAAAAAGCCCGCCATATTCTGATCACTGTCATCATTCTGTTCCAAATCATTCTTTTTCAATTAGTGTTTCTAACTTTTGTGTCTATTCAAAGATGGCAGTACCTTACATAAAGATTCACTACGTTGCCATGACCGTTCAGCTTACCACGCTACCATTTGTTTGCTTGTCCTGTTTGTTTGTTTGTACGGGTTGCTTTGTTGTAGTATTGGTTAATAGATTGATTGACCAGAGCTGTTACACAGACAAGATTTTAGGACGGAAAATCCAAAATGGCTGCCTTGACATTTTCCCGGAATGCCGAAAAACTAATGAGTTTGATAATTTCGTACTGAAAATCATCCCTAAAAATTTGAAATTGATCTACCAAACGGTTCACAAGATGTTAAAGTTTTAAAAGTAGTGTGTAGCCGTTTGCAAGGCCTTTTAGAATTTGAGTTCAAAATGACCGACAGGAAGTAGGTATCGAGCCGATTTTTTTCGTCTTCATCGGTATGCACTCGTAATTATCCCTGAAAATTTGATGGTGATATCTGTAGCGGTTTGAGAGAAAACTGCCAGACGAACGGACGGACGGACGGACAGACTGACGCGCCTTGGCCGACAATATGGCCCCACACTATGTGGGGGGGGGGGTACATAAAAAGGAATAAAGAAAATACCACTGAGAAGTTCGGAAAACATGTATTTAATTTACAACAACAGGATAACAAAAATATTACACATAATATTATTAATGTATAAATCATGGGTACAAAGTGTACAACCATGCTCTGAGTAAAAGTGCTATGCAATAATATGTACACCTATAAAAAATAGGAGTTGTTCATCACAAGCAACGTTTACTCGCTCTCTTTAACCATAATGATAGGTTCATTATTTTGTATATTGAAAGTAAATGTGATGGGTGCCACCCTTTCAAGATAGTCAGAGACCCATGCCTCTCTATCCATTTCAAAAAATTATCGCGTATCGCTCTCTGTTAATTTATGGCATCCATACCTTGAGGTTCAATTTTCTGCCGGATGCCCCTGCAAACTCTCATTGTAGTCCATGGTATGAAATCTCTAGGACGTCTAATAAAGGAGCTGGTAGCACACAATAGGGCAGCGATATTTGACCTAACATTAACATACCTACATATGTTCCCTAATAATTTTTATTAACCGTTTAATATACTCTCGGCTTTTTGGCTGAATTATGCCTGCCATTAACAGAGGTCAAAAAATTACCAAAAAATAAAATCCCAATTTTTCACAATTTGTTTTGAGTACACAATGCAACAGAAAATAATACAAAATGATTTCAAATATATGATTTAGGTTTTCTCTGGAAGGTACTTAACAATTATGGGAAAGGTTGTTATAGTTAAATCTTTACTTTTATCACAATTCTCCTGCAATCTCATGCAAGCCTTCATCCTCCCTGACAAACTTTTGAATAGAACTAATACAATGATGATTAAATTTATTTGGGCAAAAGGCAGATTTAAAGAGGATGAATTGAAAAAGATTCCTGACAAAGTGAAAAGTGATGTAATGGTACAAGAATATAAATATGGAGGGTTAAAAATGATAAATGCTTAAGATTTACAAATAGCTAAATACAACACAATTGGTTAAAAAGTTGCAAGAAAGAGGCAATGGTCACTGGAGAGGCTTACCCATGTACATGTATGGAAAAATGGGTAATGGACTCAGTATTTTTAATTCAAACATAGATTTTGATAGAATTAGAGGTTTGCATAACTTGAGTAATTAAAACTGGATTGAAAAGGGCATTACATATATTTCAGATGTTGACCAGGATAGGGAAATGTTAGCATATGATAACATTGTCCAGAAAATAGGAGAAAACGTAGTTTGCCCAGTTTGAATCCGATGTCCGGTAGGCAAACTAAAAGAAGGCATGCTTATTCTTATTAATATAAGCTTTTATTCCGGTAGCTTACAGGCGTTGTATTCGCGAATACAAGCTAAATACCTATCAAGTTTTTGATTGCAAAATTGCGTGCAGATTGATAATACATGTACATGTATGAGATAACATTTAAGTCCCCAAAGGACTACGAGATTTGTATACCTAGTTATTACGGCTTATTAGTTATAGACCCTTTCCATGAATGTTTCTTGGTACTGTATGAGGCGATTTTTTTCACAATTTGGAGTACACAAATAAATATATGTTAAATGTATGATTGAGGTTTCTAAGCTACAAGTTTGAGGTTATTTTTCCTATCAATACCAAAAAACTATGTAATCAGTGTATCCACGTTTTGTATTGTTTCTCAGGTATTGATAAGATAAATGCTACAAATGAATCACTTTTATATAAGAATGACAAATTTAAATTATGCTAGTTTTTCACAAGATGGGTCTCAAATACGTTTTGAGATATGGAGTTTTAATCAGCGGTGAACATTATCAATAAAGGAGGGCCTATTGCTCTTCCTGACTAATTGGGACTACAGTTAAAATTGTATTTCTCGTCGTTAGATATAGCTCAGTTGCTTATAAAACAACCATCAAGACTTGGCCGAATTCATGAATAATTGAGAAAAATCGTTATCATTATCTTCCTAAAATTTGATTGTATCCAGCGGTAAGGTCAAAGAAGAAACAACCATCAGAAAACTTGATGATAGCCAGCAGTAACGTCGAGGAAGAATTGTAAGGCGTTCGATTGCATACCCGGGGGGTTCACTCCAAATAATTTGGGTAGGTATGTGCAGCACGGCCAATTTTGGCTTTGAGTATAAAACATGGAAATTGGCCAATCTGAGAGGAAAAAAACATGGAAACTTGTCTATGAAAGTACCCTTTTTAAGTCAAACTAGAAAAAATTGTATTAAATTCGTTAAATCAGTTGTTAAGGCCTGGAACAAATCACTAGAAAAGTTGATTTTTTAGTCAATTATAAGTCTCAGAGGAATTTTGAGAGGAAATTGACATGGAAAAAATGCTCAAAAAGGGGGCCTTTGGGGCGGCACATAGGTATTAAGAAGTATATTGGAGTGAACCCCCCGGGATTGCATATGACTCTAATTGATTATTAGACATGCCCTTGGAATATATGAACATTCCAATACCTAAATAGTTAACACAATTTTGTTGAGTCTGCTTGGCTCATATTTGAAAAATCCCCCAAAAATCTGAAAAACTAACTTGCGTAATTATACTAATTAAACACCGACGTTTACAAAATGAAAATGATTATAGTATATTTTTTACATTATGATAATCTATTTTTTGTTCCTATGCTTACAATAACGGTCTGTCTTATAAAATGCATAAAAGTTCGAATCAAAATATTTACACTTTTTGACCCCTTATGATGAAAGACATTTTTCGACCCGAAAGCCGGAAGTTTGTTCAGCAAATAGTATTTTAAAAGAATCAAGACATATGCACCTCCATAAATATTGCTTCAAATGTTTCTGCGCTATAGTGTGCTACGGATCCTTCGTATTCGGAAGTCATACCATGGACTAGAAGCTTTTATTGGGACGACTAGGAGATGAGTATGAGTTGCGAGATAAGACAGAGTTAAAGCAACCCGATCCAGATCCAGTATCACGTTTAATTGTAACTATCAGATGAGCTATCCATTCCATCGATGTATATTTCTACCACTGGGTCCGGGGGTTTAGGTTCATCTAGGTTTGTGATTCTGTCATTATATTGAATATCTAATAATGGGTCATCGGGTAAACACGGATGTACGTCTTTACAGAGAGATTCTTGGCTTCTAGAATGAGAGCGTGTTGGTGATATTGCAAGAGAAGGATTCGTCTGTGGCTTGGCTTGCCCTTCTAGAGCAGTATTAGCAGTTGTAATATACACTTGGCGTCGGTGTCCATTCTGTTGAAGCCGTCTCATAGTTACACCATTTAATTTCGTCTGTTTAATTGTCGTATTTTGTTTGAATGTTGTGTTTCTGAATGTGAATGATTTAAAAGTCTGCGCGGGCATTTGGATTGAACTATTTGAATGCATTTCAGGTCCGCAAACTCTGTTGGTGCAGAGAATGCGCCGCATACAAGCCAGAACTTTTTCAATAAGAGCCTTCCTCATTAAGATATAGACCCATGGATCCAAGATTTGATTCACCGAGGCCAGTCTTAGTGAGATTAGATCTTGTTTGTTGTCTCTCACTTGAGTTATCTCATTAATCAAAATGCGGATCTAAAAAGAGCATATGGGACAAATTAAAATGGCAATCAAATAGTAGATAATCTTAGATGATCTTAGGTAATCTTAGATGGGAACTCGTTCATTATCACTTTAAGTGAAGCATCAGCCATAAATGTTAGTTAATTTGACAAGAACGGGACAGCCATTTTAATTCTCAACTGTTCTAACTTTCTAGAGATTGGGATTTTGTTTGGCGATGTCCTCATTTCTAGGCAATTTGTTGGTGCACTTAGGGTGCACTTAAATCGTGTCATTTAGAACGAATCTGAAATGATACTTACATTGAGGGGTGCCCAGCACATAGTGAATACGCATGTGATGCCACAAAGAAGCCATACCATTTGTAGTTCAAGCATGTTATGTTTCCTGGACCTACATATCCTCCTCTGTTCCCCTGAGCTGTTAAGGCGCATTGATTGTCTCCTGTGGCGCAACCTCAACAGTGTAATAATGACGATTACATTGCACGTGATGATGACTAGGATCATGCTCATGCTGATGCCCGCAAACGTAACTGCATATGCCGTATCCAGAGGGCTTTCGGCATGGAAATTAAGAAAGCACCAGGTATATGGCCACTGTAAGGCATAGCTTCCAAACCCAGTAACGGGCAGTAGGGCTACCACAAGCACAATACAATATATTATTCCTATAACAATACGTGCTTTTGATTTTGTCACATGTACTGAGTAGACATACGCATATCTTAGTGCCATGAAGCGTTCAACTGCCATTGTACCAACGATCAGTGGAGTCGCAAGTGCAAATGATATCATTACAAATGCATGGTACTTGCACAATGCCACGGCTTCGGATAACAACACTGTATCAGTATACACTAACAATGGGATGGGGGACACTAATATAATCCCTGTGAGGTCCGTCCACGCAAGCGCTGCAACCAATATATAAAACACACTCTTTCTCACTTCTTTACGACTTTTATATAGCACAGCCAAGGCTAAGCTGTTACCAAATATTCCTGAGCATATCATGATGATGTTTGTCATAAGCGCGGCACTTTTGAGGTCTGCCCCGGGTGACGTAGAAGTTGAGTTTGTGGCAATGACTGGGGGCTCTAATAATGGGTCAAATGAGCCACAGCCACTCGAGTTCATGTATACTTTCATATTCATGGTGCGGGTACCAGTACAGTTTGCCAACAGGGAATCCATGGTGATAGACCTGTATTTGTTTTGTCCTTTCGCCGCTTAGCTTTACCTCAGGTTTCTTGATGCATTGATCTGTAATCATAAAATAAGATTAACATGAGGAAAATGATCACGTGGCCTTCTTTTTGCGGTTGCGGGAACAGGCTGGTAGTATTTCTCGATCAGGACAGGAAAACGACAGAAATATTCGACATGTATATTTATACTTTATTTTCAGCACATTGAAGGTCACGTCATCATGATAATGGTACATTTTTACAGTTTTGAAGAAAATAGTGACACGCGAAAATTCGATGGATGAACAATATGTACCCCTTCAAAATCACTTATCTGAAGATTATTAACTGGGAGGGATTCAATATGGGTTTTATTCCAAGGGACAATATGATATTTCCTGAGGGTCCGGAGGGCCAGCTGAGCAAAAACCCTTTCTCCCGGGCCCTCGGGAAATATCATATCGTCACGAGGAATAAACCCGTATTTAATCCCGACCATTGCTTTTTATCCCACGTCATTCGCGAATCATTAGTTCAAAATCCATATCTGATTTTTCTGTTAAACATTAGACGTAGTTGTAATTTCCGCCATTTTGGACCGCCATTTTTCCGAAAGATGAAGCGAGGTAAGAAAGAGCTTTGTTTAGCATTATTGAGTCGGCTCACCAACAATTATGCGTTGTCACCCTATGCAGACAGAGCCTGTGGGAAATATTAGGTGCGGATGCAAATGAGCGGAGGGTGCGGAGCTAACGGTCATTTTTGAATTTAAATTTGGGATATTTCTGAAACTAAGCCGTTTTGGGACTTCAAATATACCAAGATATGTGTATTTGACACCAAATATCAATACAATTGTGAAAATAGTAGCGCAATTCATTCTATAGCGACGCAGTGTGCCTTAAACCTTTCCCAGACCTATATATTTTGAAATTATCCTTTTAATACTGAGTCCCCAGCATTCATAAAAAAATGGTGTTCAAGGTACACTATCTATACAAATTATTTTTGCATCTTGGAAGCCAGTCAGTATCTGTGTGAATTTATAAAAATTCGGAAATGTTTTTCAGATATGAGCCCCCTCTAAATATTGGGTGCGGAGGAGCTCCATAAACGTACCTCCGCATAATATTTTTATCGTACTAGCCGCATGTTTCATCTATCAGCCAAATTGACTCAATTTGGCATGAAATTCATTTTGAAATGATATTATACATTTAGTACACTTCTTGTAAGTGTAGGATAATAAGAACATCCTATGATTTTTTCAGAATATCATTTTAATCTACTCGGTGATATTGATATATCCACTCGTTCGCTTTGCTCTCTCGTGCAGATATCAATATCACTGCACCTCGTAGATAAAAATGATATTCCTCAAAATCAGAGGATATCCTATAAATATGGTTTTCAATACGTCATAAAATCTAAACCGAAACTCAGATTTCACTTCAGATTTTAGATTCATACTCTGAGAAAATTCTACCCTTATTTCCTAACTCACACGTCAAATTTAGAGATTTTTTTGTTTTGACCTACTCTCCGGACACCATATCTCAAAAATGGGTCAAAATAGTTTGAGCATAATGTTTGCTATGTGTATACCAAATTTCGAAGAATATTATTAAAGTGTAGTGTCAGAATCATAAAAATAGGGAAAAACTATAAATCTGACTTAGATTTTGGCCTCCTTTTAGTGTCCAAATTTTAAAGCAGAGTAGATATTAAGGTATGTTTCTATTGTAGGCTTTCACTCAATTTTGCACTTTGAATCATCTATAACCTCATACCAATTTATAGTTGTGAATCTTTTAGGAGATATTGTATTTGATATTGTAAGGAATAGATTGGTAGGTCAATTATACATGTTGCTTGTCATTTTGTCACCCCCTATAGATCAGATTCTGCCTTTAAGTTACAACATATCTATTTTCGTTTCTCACATACACGCCTAGCCATCGGCATCGTACATTGACAAAATATACGAGTGTACACTTTTTAGCTAAAGGTTGTCATGTTTGAAGCAAAAATTGTGATGTAGGTTTTTAAAGATTTATCTAAGGAATATGATCTTAGTACTTCATGTTTAATTTCATGTGCATGCTCTTGGCAAGCTCGAGCGACAAGCATTGCTTTTCTAGGTCATTCCACCCACAAAATTGACCCGTTGGAAAATGTTGGTTAAATTCACATGGACGCGGAATAAATAAAACCTAATACCGACTTGGGCAAGGCTAAATCCAAAATCGAAATAAGATAGAACGTAACGTAATATAAGTGGCCACTCATCCAAACTAGAGTTGGTGTAGCACCTGACGATCTTCAATACGTAATATCCGTTAGATGTTCGTATACATGTAGCTAATCTTTATCATCTAAGATAATAACTTAAGTGTAGCGGACTAATTAATAGTTAAATGTCGTATAGTACGATACACCACACTTGCTTATTCGTCTTAGCTTTAAATAAAAAGAAAGATCTACAGATAATACCATTTGCAACTAAGCATTTAGTAACTGATCAATCTCCCCTTTGGCTTACATATTATATTATCAGGTTATCGATGTGTGTAAATATATCATGACAATACGCATCATTTTTGATACACTGTAACTTTAATTTACAAGTACCCATAGCCGCTAAATGTTGCATGATCCTAAATTAATCAGAATCCATTAGACATCATGCAGTCAGAAAATAATTTTCCATCCAATGTACCATATATCGATTGTTTACGATGAGTTGTAAATGCCTGAAAACAAGAATTATGTTTCACGTATGGAAAATGGAAATGGTACTTGGTGATCTATCTGTTATTAACAAAGCTTAAGTGCGGCATCTTTCTCATGAGGAATAGAACAAGTATCAGACAATCTATTGAGAACAGTGATTTTTATTTTTGACTATCCAGATCAACCCTTTTAACCATCGCAAAGCATACATGAACTCGTACGATTTAAGAAATAAACATATTACAAGGATATGGACAATGTTTTTTTAAATCATAAGAGCATGTGTGTTGGACTTACTTTTATATTAGTATCACCCCGGAATTATAAGTTCATATTATTCCAATATTACTACGAAGATCTCTTGAAAATCTATTTTTCTATAAATTTTATTTTGACACTGCTACTTACTAGTAAAACTGGCGATACAACATAAAATACCTTTATAGCATCTTTTAACACTAATACCAATGGTTTTTGATTCTCAACTTTTTGGCAATTAAAAGTCTCTGCCTGCATTTAGAACAGTAGCTATACATTGTCCTGTGCATAATTTAGAAACCTTATCCTAATTTTTCACAAATCTTTTGTTAATTCTGTAATCATTTCCAATTTGTAAACAGCATTTAATGTTTTTTGACATCACACTGATTTTTGTCTCTGCAACTTTTTTTGGCAGAAAATATCATTTCTAGTTCAAAAATGCATAAAAACGTCGGAACTGGCTGAATATGTGAAAAATTTATCCATTTAGGCTAGAAAGGGTTAATTTGCCCTACCCCAAATACGTCTAAATATGCTAGTCTAACTTTGCCACTGTGACGTCACAAATCTAACCTGACTATCTCGGAGTTTATTGAAGAAAATGATACGTCTGACAAACAGCTTTCATTCCCTATATGGCACACCTTCTACTAAGAGTTGCATCATTGACTAAATCTAAGACAAGAGCCCTGTGTCCCGAGGATTTTGACTGAAATTTGGCCATTTTCGCCCAAATCTAACTAAATTGCAGTTTCCCTCACACCTGTATTTTCAAATAAATATTGCTACAATGTAGCAATTTAAAAATCACACATGCTTACTGTTTCTGTCGACCTGACACGTGTATCTAGCCTGTAAAAATGAAAAATCGCTACATTGTAGCAATTTCACTGAGATATGGGCCCTGAAAATCATGTAATTTTAGCAAAAAATGAAGAAATAACCTGCAATTTTGATGGAATTTCAGAGGGCTTTCTTTCATTCATGACCCTCCACGGGCCTCTTATGACCATTCTTATACTCACAGAATGGTTGAAAGTGATTTCAAATCATTGTTTGCCCTACGCAGAACTAAAAAATCGATTCTGTTCTCAAATTCTGCTAGAATATTGGTCTCTGGCCAACTAGCAGACAATTTTAGGCCTCATATTAAGGTATGAGTACCGTAATCCAACACCAAATTCGAAAATTCATAGCAATACTTTGCACATATGGCGTTCGTGACCAACTATAAAACGCTTACCCCCCATAGTGTTATATATCAAAATGTACCTGTTCATATATGGGTTCGATTGATCTACATCAAATTATGGGGAGTCAGGTTACTTTTTTAGATATCAGCGTCCATTTATTGTGACTCGCGTTTGCTACCACTTCCTCAATTCTGATATGATGGGCAAACGCGTAGTAAACATGCTCACGTCGGAACTATTTTTGACCTACATCGCTATTTTCGCAATTCAAATGAAAGTTGAACGCCTCCTCTTTATTTTGATACCAAATAGTGGCATACTAGGTACCCTAGAAGCCAACTATGGCGTTATTTAGAACAATACCACGAGTTTTTAAATGGACTATAGGGGTCATACCTTTTGGCGGATGGATATGGAACCTCATACCTTAAGCCTTTTTAATTGCAAGGAGGATTGGCTCCCAGAATCGAAGTCGATATTTTCCAACAATGAAAACGCCGAAATGTCGTTATTTTCTGAAATTATAACCGATTATAAATTCAAAATAAACAGTTCAAAATATTCGAACCAATATCTCGATCATTTCTTGTGAGTTTTGGAATTTTTCGTTGGGAAATAAGACCAAAATTCACGATTCAAATGTTGAAGTGAACAAAATGGCGGTCGTTGGAATTCAAATTTTGTAGCACGACATACCCATATATGGGGCAGAATATCGATGTTGCACTCTGGGAGCCAATCCTCCTTGTTTAATTGGGAATTTTTTTGAAATTTCCAAAATGGCTGCCATGTGATTCTAGAATTCACATGAGTGTGGCATGACATCACAATTGCTGGTTTTTAGGTAACAGCAAGATCGCAATTGCTCGTTTCTAGGTAGCAAAAATATTTTTGATTAAAATGGCTCAGAATTGCCCTGATTAATACACTTCAAATCCGATTTTCAAAGAATATATTTGGAGAAACAATAAAAGGTAAGTGGAATAAAATAGAAGCTAGATGGTTTCAAGTTATAACAGAAGTCAATTTGAAACTCAAAAATGCTTTCTTTGACTCATAATCACAAAAATCGGGTGACTTTTGACATTGGTATCCAGCTTATGGTTTTTTAGAATAGATACATGTCCTTAATATTTTCATTGGTTATTTGTCATTTTTGGATCTTTATAACTCTTATTTTGGTGATGTTCACAAATCTAAATTAGATGATTGAATATACAGTAATTATTAAACATTTAGCTAGTAACTAATAAAACACATGCGCGTTCCTTATTTTTTACTCACCACATTACTGCTCTGACATCATTTGCGCCTACACTTCAAATGTTATCAATTAAAAGATAACCTTTTCGTCATTAAGCTTCGCAAGCCGCACTAGCCTTTAGGTTTATTCACTTATTTGTTCATGTTGCATCCGTAAATTGAGAAAAAAGATGTTCAGCTATACTAACTAGTTGTTATAAATGCATTAACCATACAAACGATGCCTTAAACTGTTTATCTGATATCACGAAACTCATAGCAAAAAAACAAAATTTCCGGCCTAAATCATACTAAAAAATGTCCGATTTCCCACAGGATAACCAATATCCAAAGTATTTAATGGTTACATTACATGTCACTAGCCATATGTAATGAGATTCGAAATGACAAGATATAAACATTCCACTAACCTTACCATAAATTATCATTCTTCTCCGTTTACCTTTGTCGGTGCTATCTAATCTAGCTTATTTGCCTCTTAGCATAAAATTGTTGTGGACCATGATAATTCCATAGAATATTAGTTTGAATATTGATGAACTTACTAATGGCCCGTCTCTTGTATCAATACAAAACATTTGCCTCGCAGAATTCATTAACTAAGATAACAACGCCTTTTTATTCTAGTTGATTGCATCATTTACGCATTTCTAATTGACAAGCTAGAACAACGTCCATACATAGAAGCATTAATCCATTAGTAAATCGATCCTATTAGCTCTTTTTACCGCATATAACATCCAAATTAGGTAGGTCCCCGTACGTCCTTTAGATTTTTTTCTCTACAGGTAATGATCTCGAATTTTCTCATCTTTGATCCGGTATCGCTAGTACATAGTGTTAACAAAATCCACTTGCAACCTGTTCAACACCCGTCACAGTTTAATTACCCCACTAATCATTACGTGATAGTGTCCATTTAGCGTCCATTCCAAATTATGTCCAAAGGCTATATGCAATTAAGGTACTAGTAGTTATAACCCTTTCTTCATCCTAGATATAATGTAACTAACTAGATCCCACAGGTGGATATGATGTTGTTTAAAAAATTAAATTTCATTAATATATTTCAAAATAAAAAAATTAAATGCCACCTACTTCGTTTTTTTATAAATTATAGACAGATCTGATACCAATTTCGGAATATCTCAAGGTAAAAGGTTTTTGAGGCATTTTTTTAGAAAAAGTGACAAACCTATTTTTTCTAAATCAGTTTTTCATGCTGATAAAGATATTAAAAGATAGCAGCTCAACGATGTAGGCATAACACTGATTTTTAGTGTGTTTACCCCCTGGGTAATTATATGCAACTTTTGGCACTTTTTTGTCTTGTCAATTTTATATTTGTAGCTTCAAAAAAATATGATAGCTTTTATAGATCAATTTATACGTAGTACTATGACAACATTTCCTATCTATGTGTGATATTGTCATACGTTTATTGTAATTTCAATTATATAGTGCCCTACCACTGGAAAATAGAAGAACGTGGACATGGTCAGTTTATTATTTTGCAGCATAAACTAGGAAATATATTGATAGAAGGCAAATCAATGTATTCAACACATCTTCAAACTTTAAATTACACTTTAATTCACTTATTACAGTATTACAAGAATATAGGACTTGACATAATGACTGTTATATATACGTTTTCAATTTAATACATGTATCATATATGAAATCTAGTGTAATCGTACACTAGAAAGGTTGGCAATTGGAATAAAGTCTAGACATTGGAATAAAGTCTTAACATTATTACCATCAATTGATCTCATCTGAGCAACCAGACTATGGTGGTCATCATGCAAGTAATATATTGTCCCATGAACCAGGTCACCATCCAGGTAATTTTAACCATGGGACAATGTACGATCATTGATATTTTAAAAATCTCTTGTACTAGAGACTGCGACATATATGTTGATTTCATGGACATGCAATTTGTTATTTTTTGTCAACCAGACTTAAAGCAATCATTACCACAAGGTACCTGTTTGGAATATTGCTTATAAATACAAAATGACTTTAAATTATGTGAAATATACACGTACAATCAAAAGTTAGTTGTATTCGTATTTTTATATTTATATTTAAATTACAGGAGCAAAGAATGAGTCATTGCAATTGCCAAACCAAGAAACAATAAGTCTCACGCTCAGTTTCACATATTGTGTGTTTTTTCATGATATTATATTTTGAATGCCGTTTGTCGTTCCCTATGATGAATGTTTGGCCTTTACCCGAATTGATAAATGTTGCTAGCACACCTTAGTCATTGAAAGTGCAAGAATACTTTTAAATCGATTCCAATGAAAATGATTGCATCCATTGCAATCTTTAATACATCACATGCAAGTAACCTGGTATCCTCATCAGGATTATGTATACGAAGATACGAATTTATTAGAACCATTTGAATGTGAGTAGAAGTAAAGGGGTAAAGTAGACAGCTTTTGGTACACTGATAATACCGATTCTCTTCATTTCGTATTGTATCCAAATTACATAAGAGATGGCTTAAACTCAATTCATCATAAACTTTTACCAATGCTGACAACACATTAGCTATTATTTTATCCAGCTTCTCCAAGAAGTCACTACCCTTTGCATTCGTTTGACTTCACTTCTTAAAAGAGAGCTTCGTCTGTAGTTTAACTAGACTCTGCACGCAGGGTAAGAAGCCACCAAACGTGTAGCAAAATATTTCGTATATATCCTTAAAAAGACTTGATTATTCAAAGATGGTCTGGGAAACGGGGCCTCACTTTTGCAGCCCCAAAAATCATGAACCGATTTTTAAAAGAAAAATACAAGTTGAAAGGACCTTTTGTCTTCAATGACATTCTAATAGATCAAGTTTAAAAAGCTAACAACTTGCCCATGAAACAACTGAACTACAAAGTGTATACAGGTTAATTGTTGTTCGAATCTGATTATGCTGCACCATCTTGTTATAATAATTTGCCTTAATGATCATAGCTCTCGATAATTAGTTCAAGGTTTCAGCTATCGTACCTAGCAGATCTTTTACATTATTCCCGTGTTTGTTTGAAGCCTGAACGACTTGTTTCGTAAACTACCTTGAAAACTTCTGTTATGCTTTCTTTCTCAAATTAACAGTTTATGACTTTCCTGAAGTAACATCATCCAATGAAATATTTCTGAAATGTGATGATAAAAAATCCATTTTGCCAATATTTTCCCCTCAATTCGGCTTGTTCATACTCAAAAGTATGCAGAAGCGGTTAATGTCCCGTACTCACCGTACTGTCAACAACAGTGACGAATATAAGCACGTTTCTACATACCTTTTTTTGCTGTACTGTTAATCCATTCCACTGAAACAATCATAAATGATTTTAAGTTGTGATTAAATCGTCTTACTTAATATGTCTTTAATTTCAAATACGTGTTAAGCTTTCGTTAGCGTTGACTTATAATCAGTTTAATGTTGTCCATCCTGTAAAGACTATAAACACATTCTCTTGATTCATACCCTTATTCATACACTATGTTCAAAGACCTTCTTAAATGAACAGCGACTAAATTTCACGTTCACCTCTTAGCTTTCAGCCCTTTACCTATATCGCTCCTCAATGAACTATCGCAAGTTGTTCTGGTTTTAACATTTGGTAATTAACTGCTGGATATGATGTAACCAGTTATTTCATAATATTGGATTTCCAAAGTAAAGACTAGTTACATGGTATGTGGTAGGAAAATAGAACATAAAGCAATGCAACAGAACACAACTAAACGTTACACTACACAACACTACTGAACACAGCACATCAGAAGACTATAATGAATATAAAACAGAAACGGCATAACACAAGACAATATGATCAATAACCCAACATAAACCAAGACCGCAAAAATAGTTGAACAGAACATACTGCACAACATAAAACAATACACCACAAGGAAACAACATAGTTAACGTATACATAAATATATTCGGTGAGACTTGAGGTAATTTATGCAATGTCATTCAAAATTGAAACTTCTGATTGGGTTCGAAGCCGAGATGCCCGGATATGACCGAGCAAAAGCCGAAATTCACGTTATTTTTCACGAAGAAGGGGCGGAGTTTAAGCGAGATTCATCGAGACTTCTTTGTGTCAATCGTGTCAATCCCTGCATTGCTTATTGTTAACTCCACCTTTTTGGCCATATATGGAGATGCCACTTGCGAGTGTGAACTGTTCAATCTAGAAATTTCTTATAACATAGACAAATACTGTCGCGCCGGGCCGTTTCCCGAGTACCATATATGCTAATTGAGGGAAGACCCAGGCGGATCGATAAGGAATTTTCAAGGGTGATTCTTGTGTGCCGATCTGGTTTGGTGGTGCGGCAGTTACCAGTAAAGATTGTTCGCACAAACACTGACTTTTTTATTCTTTTGACTTATTTTAGAGTAAAAAACAATTTTAAAAAGTCATATAAGATCAATTTTAGATTTGTAGACAACATAACAAAAGGGATGCTATTTGTCAAAAACAAGATAATGAGAGATTCTTTAATTGGTTTTAGTACAACTTTAAGAGTAGTGTTTAAGTTTGTGATCTAACTATATATATTCCCGCTTTTACCTAGAACCTCAGTACATATGGAATACAATACATAATATTACATTTTCATTCTACAAAACCAAGTTCAACTCATGATATCATTTGCAATTGTTTAGTATAAATGTAAACGATCTCTTACCTGACTTAATCCTTTCTAGAATGATATACTACTTTACCATTCATGTGGTAAACATCGTTAAATGAATAGTAAGCACAGATGTAATTTACATGAAATGAATGCAATCTATTAGAACCGTATTTGTTCATAATACTGCTGTGGAATTTTATTCTTTTCATATTCATTTTCATATAGTCGAATGCATCATAATTGCTGACCAACAAGCATAAAATAGTGAACACACTGGCGTTTAACGTATCTCAAACATCATGCCTAGTAGCACAAAAACGCACGGCACATGTATCTCTATGTTTTTTTCAAATGTAGTAGTGCGGGCTTATTTCTGAATTTTAATAAATCGCGAGAAATAATCTACAGTAATGAGATGCTGTTCACCTGTTGAATCGCAAAGATCACACAATTTTCAACCACGGTCGTTCCGGTAATTGTGTTGTTATTGTAATGACCTTCTATAGCAAGTCGCTACTACAGTCTCAGGGGTAGAGCGTCTGACTCGAGAGCGGAAGGTCCTTGGTTTGATTCCCGTACGGGGCATTGAATTTAGCACATTCTCTTTCGAGTCTAGTATCTGGCTCGGCACACTACAGCTCCCCGACGAGCGTGCCCAAGGGTCGTTACATTGGTGTCAGAAATGGGATTGCCTTTGTGAATTAGTTACGACGGGACGTTGTCTTCTAGGGGGGATGGTGTAATGACCTTCGATAGCAAGTCGCTACTACAGTCTCAGCTGCAGTGGCTAGCCTTTATGGCTCAGGGCGTCTGACTCGAGAGCGGAAGGTCCTGGGTTCGATTCCCGTACGGGGCATTGAATTTAGTACATTCTCTTTCGAGTCTAGTATCTGGCTCGGTACATTACAGCTCCCCGACGAGCGTGACCAAGGGTCGTTACATTATTAATGGTTCTTTATTCTGTTTAGGTTTCTCAATTTGACATTCAGAGCAAGATTTAACTTTATCCTGTATTTGTTCATTTATACTACACGGACATGCGAGCACACTCTCTACATTTATTCATACCCAAGTGACATCATGAATTCTCTCTAGAATTTCAGTATGCATACTTTCAGGGACAACAATACGACTTCCAAAAAGTATCAAATCCTGGACAGTGCTAACAGAATCACAATACACAAAATATGATTTTGCACACATTTTTACGCTCGATATACCACTAGGCCACCCATGTATGATATAATGCATTACAACCTACAACGTATCATCGGAAAGTGTCGCCACACGAATCTTATCAAGTTTGTCATTTGACACTGGCTTGGTTTCCACAGCTGACTCAACATACGCTGAAACTTCAGCGACATCATGATTTTGTGATGTAAAAAGGATTGCAGTGGAAGATGTATGATAAGAATAGAAGAATATAGTAAGTCACTGAAAATCATCCACATTTAGTCAGGAAGACCGGGCAAGAAATAGCAACAGGATACTAGTATAGGCTTCGTCAAGGAAGGGAAACTCAAAACTGCAAACATCCTAATATCACAGCCCAAGTCAAACCTTCATGAACATACTGATAGTCTGCGAAAATATGTCACTTATTTATTATCAAAGTTTAGTTCGGAACAAAATAGATTTAAGAATACAATGTAAGCTTTCAAATGGTGTGCGGAATGTATGGGGTACGTAGTTATACAAAAGCTGCAAATAATGCTGTTAAGCTGCGAAGATATTTCGTGATTTATTATTAAAGTTCTTTGCGTAACACTTTCCTAGGGCCTGACTCGATTTTTTTATGAACGAGATTAAAGAACTCTAAATGAGCTTTCCCAAGGTGTGCTGTATATGTTGCTAGCTATATTAAATGATTTGTAGTGTTGTCAGTCAACAAAATGTCTTCAAATAAAGTTCAATGCTTAACGAATGATTTACTTCTGATGCAAAGGAGATTAAAGAAGACAAGATAAGCTAATCAATGGTGCGTTGAGCGTTATATATGTAGCTAGCTATTTCAAATCATAAAAACGTACGTTATGTTGTCAGTAACCCTACTATCACACCAAACTAGTTCTCACTACGTTCTCGAAAACGGGCTTCAACTGTGTACGAACGGACTGGACCTACTAAGAACCGTTTGGGATCTATTTACAAACGTCATCGAACGTACTCGGACGGGTAGGTCCTCTAGAACTTAGACAATGCTCAAAATGTTCTCGTGGTCGTCACGTTCTACAATTAGAACGAGTGACAACGTACTAACGACGAGCTGGACGTACTACGAACGGAACCGTCGTACTTCAATCCTACTAGGGACGTTTTAACAACGAGTTGAACTGTCTGAGGACGTGTTGAGAACGAGGTAGAACTAATTGCAAACGGGTTTAAACTGATTAAGAACGTATTTAACACTGCTTATGAACGAGTTAGCAAAAATATACCTATCACACCAAACAAGTTGCCACTGCGTTCTTCAAAACTGGTTTTAAACTGTGTGCGAACGGAACGAACGTAGCTGCAACTTTCTAAGGTCTATTTACGAACTTTATGATCGTTCTCAGACGGGAATGTGATTTTAGAACTTTGAATTGATTCAAAATTCGATGGTGACCATACCGTTCTGTAATCAGGTCATGTTGACCTACTAGACTAAGGGACGCGTTCTACTACGTTGCACGTCGACGTGGTGCGACCTGAACGAACTGCGAACGAGATGGACGTATTGAAGACTGTTTATGAACGAAGTAGCTAATTATTTTAGACTTATTTCCCGACCACAGCCAGATTGAGCCCGTTTTACGACGTTTTCGTAGGACTGGCAAGAACGGGTAAGAACTAGTTTGGTGTGATAGGGGGGTAACCCTACTATCACACCAAACTAGTTTTCACTACGTTCTCGAAAACGGGCTTCAACTGAGTACGAAGGGACTGGACGTACTTAGAACCGTTTGGGGTCTATTTACAAACTTCATCGAACGTACTCGAACGGGTAGGTCCTCTAGAACTTAGAACATGCTCAAAATGTTCTCGTGGTCGATACGTTCTACAATTAGAACGAGTGACAACGTACTGACGACGAGCTGAACGTACTACGAACGGAACTGTCGTACTTCAATCCTACTAGGGACGTTTTTACAACGAGTTGAACTGTCTGAGGACGTATTGAGAACGAGGTACTGTAGAACCAATTGCAAACGGGTTTAAACTGATTAAGAACGTATTAAAGACTATTTATTCTAAGTATTAGTTTGGCACTCACTATTTAATTTATATTGCCTTCTTAAAACAAACAAACAAAGAAGTCAAGGAAATTATTTCATGAGGATGGTTGTCCCAAGCAAGTTCCTCCTCTGGATAGCCTCAATTGTTCAAGATTGTACGTTGGATCCAAGGAAGGAAGTAAGATATCCTTGAGTAGACATCTGGAAACCCTGCTGCATTACACTCCGAGTCCCCCCATGACGTCACACCAGCTAAGACCCATCTGTTGCCCACCTTGCAGGATAATGGTCCACCACTGTCTCCCTATTTAGTAATACATTTATAATAGTGCAATTAGACAAAGTGATACATTGTATATGGATATATGGCAAAAATACATACATTATAAAAGAGTAATATAATATTCTGTTATAAACATTTCAATGAAGTATTATACGTACGTAGCAAACTTTCCGTTAGATAATTGCATGTTCACTTGTTTAATTATTTCAGGATATATATTAGATCAAACCTGACATGATCCATTGATTCCATCCCCAATACAGACGTGTCCATCATTGACTGATCCTTCTCCAGCCCATTTTCTGCCGCATGCCTCATTCGATGATATATCCACTCGAAGCTCATTTAAAACATTATCGTCGCCAGTGCCTGGAATGAAAACTTACATGTCGGAATGCAAGGTATCCCAAGATTCAATTTATTTACTGAAATTAGGAGAGGAGGTCCAAAAATAGTAAAAACCATGTTTCACCGACCCCCGTGCACGGCCCCTTGGGTCGTGGCAAAAACACGAACTACAGGGTGGGCCAAAAAAACCCACCCCCCTAGCCAATATTCCTGATAAATATTCAATTTTTAACATGCACACCTATAATGATATATCGTTTTAAAGATAATTTAATTTGCAACAAAATGATATATAATATAACAGTTTTCAACAACTCTGGCTCGAGATATAACCATTTATGTGACATGGGGGTCAAAAAACACCTTTTCAATTTTCGTCGATTTTGCGAACAATTGCCTATTTCTACCAAATTTTAGTAAATTACAACATTGTCATGAGTCTTTCATAATTGGATATTATATATTGTTTTCATTCAGTTTTGGAACCTTGCATGCTCAATATACATGTGTATGCTTATAAAACGAATTCATTTCTTCTTCAGTCTGTCCAAATATGGCTCAATAGACTCACCCCCGGACCCAACTTCTGATTTGATTTCTCGCTTAAAACGTGAAAGCCATTGGTATAATTGATGGACCTCTGCAGAAGTACCATCCAACACCTAATTATTCATTCTTTCAGTATGTCTACACCCCTGATGGGCTAGGGATCTCCATAGACCAACTGTTCTAAATGCCCCAAGTACTACACATGTAATCAAAAGGCTATACTCTATATAAGTAAGCAAGAATAGTGACATTTTTGCGATAAAAGGCTATTCAAATCGAGACGACATTTTTCTGAAAGGTAGGTGGTGTCCACTCAGCGTTTCCCAAAAAGGATAGACCATACAGGCCCTGTTTTTTGAACCGGGAGCAAAAATATACTCTGAATGTTAATGACATGAGGTGGTAAAAAAGGACTCCTCAAGAATATAAAAAACATGTGAAAGAAATTTCATTTTCTGATAGAACAGTGCTCCATCACACAGGTCCAATGCTACCCTGGAGTTTTTGGAGATTCGAAATGTCACCATCTCTAGTCAAGAAAAATGGCTTACTGGCAGTCCAGTTGCCAATAATGTTGATTACCATACCTGGGAGCATCTAGAACAGTTGGTATTTAAATATACCCAGCCTATCAGGGATGTAGAGGAACTAAAAGAAAGAATAACTAGCAGTTGAATGGTACTTCCGCATACATCCATCAATTATGCCATCAACCAATGGCTTCCGCGTCTTAAGCGAATAATCCAATCAGAGGATGGGTCCGGGGGGTGGGTCTATTGAGCTATTTTTGGACAGACTGAAGAAGAAATGAATTCGTTTTATAAGCATACACATGTATATTGAGCATGTGTGGTTCAATAACTGAATGAAAACAATATGTAATATCCAATTATGAAAGACTCATGACAATGTTGTAATTTACTAATATTTGGTAGAAATAGGCAATTGTTCGCAAAATCGACGAAAATTGAAAAGGTGTTTTTTGACCCCCATGTCACATAAATGGTTATATTTCTATATGGGGTTGTTGAAAATGGTGCTATTATATATTATTTTGTTGCAAATTAAATTATCTTTAATATGATATATCATTGTTGGTGTGATTGTTAAAAAATAAATATTTATCAGGAATATTGGTTAGGGGGGTGTTTTTTTTTGGCCCACCCTGTATATTAGAAATAATAGTCAAATTTCAGACAGTCATACTCATCACCGTGACTTTGGTTAGAAATGAAAAACTTAGATTTTCGCCAAATTTATAGAAATCAAGATAAGTAAAAGAGACCGACTTGGGCAAGGCTACTAAACTGGCAACCCTGTATCAAACACTTGTACCTAATAAAATAAGTGACAACCTTTTGTGAGTCCCCATCCAGTAATCCAACACTCTTTGTTGTCAAGAAAGGTGTCGTCACCGTTGGGCAAGCATACGGGCTGAATATATCGGTTGAACTGTACAGGATGGCTAAGTTTCATCAGTGCGATATCATTGGGAAATCCACTCTTCTTGCTACTAAAATCTTCGTGCTGGAAAATATGTTTATTGGTGTCTATTAACGCGCCTTGGCCGTAAACCGTTATTTAAAGAAGGTGTTACACTGGCCAGAATTGATATTATTTGCTATATCAAAAACAAAAGAACAAAATACAACTGATTTATATAATTACCAGGATATACTTCTCCAGGTCCAGATACATTTCCGTTCCACTTTGAGCATTCTGGTTGTGTTCACCAAGCCTAATCTTGAAATTTTTGGGACCGTAGGCTCTATATTATATGTAATATTTGTATTATTACAGCGGGAAAAATGTTCAATTGATCATAATTTTAACACTGGCGTTTAACGTATGCCTTACATCATGCCTAGTAGCACAAAACTCATGACACATGTATCTCTATGGGGTTTTATTAAATCCTTCTGTGTATTTTTTCTAGCACAGGTAATTTGACTTTAATCAGTACTAACTTTTAATAAAAAATAGACTGATCCAGTACACACGCCTTGAGCTGCCATATTGTTTTCATGCCGGAAGCTTATCGTAACCCCTCAACGTGAAATTAATGAGTGAATGGCCAATTCTTTCTCTTTTAGCAGAATTTGAAACGTTGGCTTACCTCTCTAAACAATGGGCAGCTGTGATAATCCATTGGTCAGATATGAGAGCTGCTCCACAATGGTGCACAGACCCGAACCATCCAAACTGCTGAATGGACACCATCCAAGGCCATCTATTGGCAAAAGACTCTCGGCCTCCAACTATTCGGTTTTCTGGCATTAAGCCACACCCTAATGTTAGAACGCTAAATATCTTATAACACTTTAAAAATCTTGTGAATTCTACAAATATGATGTATTTGTTTACATTCAAAACAAAACATGTCAAACTGTATACCTGACTGTGGCCTCACTGTGACTGAACCTGTTGTGGTCGTTCCTGTTGAGCCAGTAGAAAATGTTGCAGATGCAGTTGTGGCACGTTCTGGTGTTGTTCTTGTGACACTTGATTTACAACACTTTATTCCCCAATAGCCACTGCACGTGTATCTAAAAATGTAGTATACGTTCAAATATAACGGGGCAATATAATATATTTACATCAACAGTACGCGAAAAGTAAGTTAAACATGATGACAATTACATCAAATATTCAAACTGATAGTCCATGGTATGAAATTTCTAATTAAGGAGTTGGTGACTTAATAAATGCGCAGCAATATTTGATACCTAGATATGTCTCGCGTCTTATTTTTGTATAGCCGTTACAAATACGGCGGGCTTTTAGACCGAATTATGCCTGTCATTAGCAGGGGTCAACAAACGTATAAAAACTATTTCGTATTTTTTCACGATAACCACTGGCGGAGTCTGGAGGGGCATAATGTATACTGCGTCGCTGTAGAATGATCGAATTATACTACAATTTTTTATATTAGGTGTGAACTACGCATATATAATGACCAAACGCTCATTATTTCATATTATTCATATTTCCCACAGGCTCCATCTGCATAAGGTGCAATGTAGCGTTCTCACTTATCAAATCGATAATTAAAACTGGAATATATAATGCATTGAATGTTTATAACATTGCATGGTGATTTTATTGTCGCGTGTACAGCATTTTGACACTAATATTTGCAAGGCGTTTGACCGCGTCTGCCTAATCCCTCGATATAAGCCATTTAGTTTAAAAACGTAAATATTCCAATACCAAAATTAGATTATTCAAATGATACATCCTTCATATTTTTATAAGAATATGTTACTTATTATAAATTTTTATAATATAAAACGTTGAGGAGTACCCTGGTGTAATTCACTTATTGAAAAGTGACATTTACGTTAAAATAATAATATATTTTATGTAATGCTAATCCTTTACATTGTATATATAAGTTTTGATTTGCAATTTGAGTCATAAAAATGCACTAAAATGAGAATAAAAAGTATTGTGTTTTTTTGATCTCGTGATGACAGGCATAATTCGAATAAAGCCTTAAGTTTTTTTTCAGCAAACGGCATTTTAAAAGCATAAGAACATATATATGCCCCTCCCTAAATATCGGTTCAAAAGTCGCTCCGCATATATTATGCCAGGGATTCGTAGTATCTATGAGCCATACCATGGACTATGAATAATTCCTACAGTTCTAAGGTGTCAATAGACAGAGATAGGCACGATAAGTCAAGTAAGCAGTTGACTCTACAAAATGTTCCTCCTCAGAAAGTAACACTTCTCGAGGGAAACGTGTGGTCGTGGTTGCGCTAGCTTTATGTACATCATGATGAAGCTGGTGCGGCTATCTAGTACCCTGCGTGCAGAGTCTAGTTAAACTACACTCTGCCTAGTAGAGACCATATTACAGTTTATTAGCCCCGCCCCCACGACGGATACCGGTGAGAGTTTGGGTAATAAATCATTTCTGACCTATGCGCTGACCTTTCTTCCACCATTCAGCGAGCTTGAACAAACATACGCCAAATGCGTTCTAATTAAATATGCGTATGTCATTGGTCAATTCCGGGCTCAACGATGACGTCAGAAGGAATGACCATATATAGAACGTCGGTCAAATTTGGCCGACGAACACTGATTGGCGCGGTGAGTTCACAGGTTTATTTTAGTTTGAAAGAGTGAAGACGAAGCTCTCTTTTAAGAAGTGAAGTCAAACGAATGCAAAGGGTAGCTATCTAGCCATTGCACGTGTTCAAGCTAGGATATAAGGATATAGTCCATGGTATGACTTCCGAATATGAAGGATCCGTAGCACACTATAGCGCAGCAAAATTTGAAGCAATATTTATGGAGGTGCATATGTCTTGATTCTTTTAAAATACAATTTGCTGAAAAAACTTCCGGCTTTCGGGTCGAAATGTCTTTCTTCGCAAGGGGTCGAAAAACGTAAATATTTTGATTCGAACTTTTATACATTTCATAATACACAAACCGTTATTCTAAGCATATGAACAAAAGATAGATATCATAAAATGTAAAAATATAGTTATAATTTTACTGTAGATGTCGGTGTTTAATTAGTGTAACTACGCAAGTGTGTTTTTCAGATTTTGTTTGATTTTTCAAATATGAGTCAAGCAGATTCAACAAAATTGTGTGGAATATTTACATAATTAGATAATTTATGATTGGGAACATAGTAGTTTTCATACCATTCAAAACATTTTATTACCAGAATTTTTCCATGTAATCGCAAGGGGTCAAAAAACAAATCATTGTTCATGTTTTATAAAACATAATAAAATAACAAATAGGTAAGATTTATATCTAATTAAATATTACAGAGATATTGGAATGAACATATAATCCAATGGCATGTCTAATAATCAATTAGAATCATATGTAATCGAACGCCTTACAATTCTTCCTCGACGTTACTGCTGTCTATCATCAAGTTTTCTGGTGGTTGTTTCTTCTTTGACCTTACCGCTGGATACAATCAAATTTTAAGAAGATAATGATAACGATTTTTCTCAGTAATCATGAATTCAACCAAGTCTTGATGATTGTTTTATAAGCAACTGAGCTATATCTAACTACTAGAAATAGAATTTTAGTTGTAGTTCCAATTAGTCAAGGAAGAGCAATAGGCCCTCCTTTATTGATAACGTTCACCGCTGAATACAAATCCATATCTCAAAACGTATTGAGACCCCTTTTGTGAAAAACTAGCATAATTTAAGCATTTGTCATTCTTATATAAAAGTGATTGATTTGTAGCATTTATCTTATTAATACCTGAGAAGCAATACAAAATATCGATACACTGATTACATTATATATTTTGGTATTGATAAGAAAAATAACCTCAAACTTATAGCTTAGAAACCGAAATTATATATTTATAATCATTTTGTATTATTTTCTATTGCATTGTATGCTCCAAATTGTGTAAAATTGGGATTTTGTTTTTTTGGTAATTTTTTACCTCTGTTAATTCAATTTTTCAATTTCATGTTATATTTATTCATAGTCTATAAAAATTACAATTCTAAATGAGCTGCCAATCGCTTCTTAGCATTATAGGCTAGCTTTTACTTAATTAATTACAAAATATAGTTACATAAAATGATTCAATATGAATTTGCGACTACACACTTTACATGATGACTAGTAGAAGGATTATGTATCCTCCATGCCTTCAATGGTTACAACATCAGTTACTAATGTACATTAAAAATATTTAGGGAAAGGATAAATTTTACAACACTTTCTTTGAGAGTTGTGTCTTCATCAATACTTAAATTGTTACCAAAAAGAAAAAATTCAAGTTTGTCTTGGTTGGTTCTGGGTAGGTGGTCTATTAGGTTCTTCTGCTCTAGGGTGGTCATTAGCTGTTGTCGTTGGAGATTATGTTAATTAACCTCTGTTAATGGCAGGCATAATTCAGCTAATAGCCGGAAGTATATTAAACGGTTATAATAAAAATTATAAGGGAACATATGTCAGTTTGTAGGTATGTCAATGTTAGGTCAAATATCGCTGCGCTAGTGTGCTAACAGCTCCTTTATGAGACGTCCTAGAGATTTCATACCATGGACTAATATACAATGTAGTCATTACACACAACGTATTTGAAAGACACATCGTGGTATTTTCTGCATTTGTTATTTATCTCATACCTTTCATCAATTTGTCCCTCATCACAAGTGTCAAGGTTAGTGTCTATACATCTACCATAGTTCGGCTCACATTCTGATAGCACAAGTAGACAGTAAACAATTAAATGCTATAGCTATAGCATTATCGATGTATGAAAACAATATATATTATTCACTTATTTATTCATATTTTAACTATAACTGCATAATTGGGAAACTGTTCCTCCATCTTATTTGACAATGTTGCAGACACTACAAAAAACGATTTATTCCGATATAAATTGCCAAGCTAGAGACCACAGACTCCAATATTTATATTTTAAAGAAGGCACGTGACGTGAACGAGATCACACCATCGAAAAACCTTATTAATGGGCGCCAGAAAACGAGATATCAGCCGTTCAAACATTCATCAGCTCTAGAACTTGATATTCTCTATCATGTGTATTTTCGAGAAAATCCGATGAGCGATTTTTCTAAATTGGCGATGACAATATTTATCGAAAAACCTTCACAACGGCCACCAGAAAACAAGATGGCCGTCGTGACAATAATGAATTCTAGAACTTGACATCCTCTATCATGTGTGCGAATTTAAATAAAATCCGACGAGCGGTTTTCCTAAAATGTGGATGAAAAGATTTATCGAAAAGGCTTCAAAATGGCCACCAGAAAACAAGATGGTCGCCCAAAACGTGATATCCTCTAGGCTATTCTGTGTGCGAATTTGGAGAAAATCCGATGAGCGGTTTTTCTGAAATGGCGGTGACAAGATTTATCGTAAAATCTTCAAAATGGCCACCTGAAAAACAAGATGGCCACCTAAAAGTGAATCAGCTCAAGAACTTGATATCCTCTATCATGTGTGCGAATTTGGAGAAAATCCAATGAGCGGTTTTCCCACTAGAGGCAATCTGCGCGAGATTCTATTTTTTGGTTCGGTTTTTAGCGCATGCGCATTAAATCCAGCAATTTAATTGGTTCAAATTATTATCACGCATGCGCGATAAATAACTTAATAAGAACATCTTATTTGAGATAGATGTCACTTACGTTCATTATTTCACAGCAGTCCCTACCCATAATGCACCATATATTGTGGGAAATTTTTTGATTAGTGTCAAAACAAAAAGTATACACCCAAAACAAATGTAATGACATAATATCAACCTGCCCCGGATTTGTAGACGTGTTTTGTACAAACTTAAACCGAACCGATGGCAGAAAAGCACTTTGAATCATGGGATGAAATACTTCCTTTAATGAAAAACCGAACCAAGTAAAAACCGAATCTCGCGCAGATTGTCCCGACTCGAAATGGTGATGACAAGATTTATCGAAAAACCTTCAAAATGGCCGCCAGAAAACAAAGTTAATCAGCTCTTTAACTTGATATCCTTAATCATGTGTGCAACGGACTGCGAGTTGTTTGTAGAATGAATCTGGGTGGCTTAATCATTAATACACACCTCATTGGCTTGTGATATAAACCAAAACAAGCCGATTAGGTGTGCATTAATGATTTACTTTGACGTGTCGCAAAAAGGTGGCGCATTTGTTTTTTAAGGGTATCGCGTGAATGTAACTTTGATTCCCCGGATTATAAGATAATATTCTAATTAAAGTTATATATCATTTTAAAGCTGTTTCGATGAAGTTTTTAGATCAACTACACTCCGTTCACAATTCTTGCGCGTTCTTTTTTAAAAAAGAGTTTTTTACCAAAACATCTGGCAAATATCCCCTGTTGACACGTTACATTTTGAATTATTTTTCGTCTTTAAACGCTCATAACTCAAACAATATATGACTATAATACTTATTTTTCGTCTTGATAAAGGTAGATAGAAGTTTTATTTCAAAGGATGAATTTTAGTAAGCGTCCCATTTTGTGACGTCATAGAGTTTGAAAAATAGAATCTGTTGACAGCGACCTTTTTTGCCAATTTTTTGTTACCTTCAACTTTTCAGGTGTACATTAAACAAAAAATACGGGATCAATTTTTAATAAATCATACATGATTATTTTGCTCCTAAACTCCAGTTTATTAATAAAATAGTTCGCAAAAGTATGTGTTTTCTGTTGTATGTGGAAAAGTGGAGGACGAAAGGTTTTCAAAATTCATTAAAATAGGGCTTATTTACGCCATTCGCCTATTTTCAAGCACAGCAACACGTATATTTATTTCACCTAAAATATCAATTGATTCGTGTTTTATTTTGCTCCTAGCCCATTAACAATATATATATGATATCAGAGTTATTCGTCAAAAATATTTTGAGATATAGAGGTAAATGTGGAGGACGAAAGGATTTTTATGTGTGTACATTTTTCTCAAAAACGTCACATTCTATAATGTTAAAAGCGAGGATCCTCTGGATTACGCCACAAAATGTGTAACAATGCGTGCGCGACCTTTTTGCGACACGTCTTTACTGTTATCTCAAAATCTGCTTGGAACTACTGTATACCATTGGATTACTATGGGAAATTCCTCAAAGAGAAAATTCTCGGGATTAAGGAAGGGGTACCATTTACACAATATGAAAAATTATTGGCATCTATGAAACCTATTTAAAACAGCATTAATATTATTCAAAGGCGATCGTAATAATGATTCCCAGCCCTCTGAAGTTTGAAAAATAACAATACCTGGGTGTAAATCCATAGATAATCCTTGAAAATGAGAAATATTTTTTAGGATGGTGTAATGGTGTATATGGTGTAATCTTATAGCCAATAAAATGTTTAAAAGTGTAATGATGTTTTTTAGATGAAAAACACAAGCGAAATGCATGCCCTCGAAAGATTTTTTGCAAGAAGTCATTTTATGCCAAAACTATACGTTTAAATTGCATTCTAAGCATGAATATCGATGAATTGGATCACGTTCATCAATTAAGAGCAGATTATGCAATTGTATTTCTCTTTAATAAAAACGCACCGTTCATTTTTCAAAACTGGCTCCAAAATTTTAGACAAATCAGAAGATTGGTTACATCTTAGACGTGCGTACCATGCAGACGTAAATTACGCCAGTGTAGGCGTTAATTACATATGGTTTGCCAGCCTACCCAAAGTATACAGGCGTCATTTACGCCTGTATAAACGTTAATTTACACCTGTGTAGACGTAAATTAATGCATGTGTAAAATACTATACTGGTGTTTATCAAAAAGTCACTTACACTTTAAAATGTTGCACTGTGGTACTGATACTTCCTTTAAAGATGGTGAGGCGTTACGAAAGTATTATTCTATTTCAGAGTGAATTCAAAGGCAAATTGAAGATATGTGTCGGCAGTTATCAAACCTCCCGTAGATCAACGTATTTGCAGTCTGTTCTGAGCAGGTATAGGCTTTCATGGTTGTTTGCTAAATATGATTAGTTTCTTCTAATAATTATCCAAAAATATATCGAATTATTTTTCTCTGCCTTCTTGACCGATTCTAGTTGCATAACGACCACTGTTTTATGTTTTCCTTGCTACCCCAACCATATATACAGGCGTAAACTTACGGCGTTAAAATGTTTAACTGCGGGCGTTAAAGCGTTATTTAACACGCGTCGAGTAACACCTTCACGCCTGTCGAGTTTATTTTAGCGACCTAAATTACGAACCAATCAGCATCTTGCTTACATTATGAAACATTGCATTCTGGCTAAAAGTGCAACCCCAGATCCTTACTCACGGTTGTGCCAGGAACAACTATTGCAATTGATGGCATATGAAGCATTATTCCCAACGCTCTTTTCTGGGTATCTTGGTGCACTCATTGTACAAATGTGGAAGATGTACATCGTATATGAAATGAGTTATGTATTCCTGAAAATGACATTTGACTCTAATGATGACTGCCTAAAAATTCCCTAAAACCAAATTTGAACATATGCTGGCTAGGCCTATATAGGCTAATCTGACATTTTCAGCACATTTTAAAAAAATGCCAGATCTGTAGGATATACCTATAGCTTAAAGTCAATATGCAGTTAATTGCTTTGTAAGCTGCAATGCGCGTCAGCTTAAGTCTCTGCCTTTTGATATATTATGTAAGCAAGGTGCTGATTGGTTCATAATTCACGGCGCTAAAAACAACTTGAAGATGAAGCGTGAAGATGTTACTCAAAGCGTGTGAATTAACGTCTTAACGCCGTAAGTTTACGCCTGTATATGTTGTACATAGCGTAATTTACGTCTCCACGGGCGTAATTTTACATCTGCACTCTTGAGCGTAATTAACGCATACTTACTTACCTATAAACAACGCGTGCATACAATGTCCAAGTTGGCCAACCATAGTAGAAGGCGTGAATACAGTCATGTTCGAATCATATTTTCAGCATTACAAAGACATGTTTAAATATATTGATATGAACGTTTTTCGTCCATTCTACGTTAAAACATTTTAAAAATGCATGTATTCTTACCCTGTACAGAGAAACAATCTGCCAATTGAACTATGATCACACACAAAATAAAGAGAGAGTCGTTCATGGTGTCGCATATGTTTCTTAGGTCTTAGCATATGATGGCCACACTGTTTTATTATCAGTGTTTCTTATCTTTATTTGACATAATGGTATTATCTTATCTAAGGGTGCCAACGTAGCATACATAACGGCCGTTCATGAGCAAGTAACCATTATTTTAATACAATGTTTCTGTCATAGAAAATTGCTACCATGTTGTATCTCAAACGGATAACTTTGCTGAGAGTTCTGTTTTGCACGTGTAAGAATGTAGAGTACATTTAACTTTTGAAAGAAAATAAAGGGCTAAATACATGGAATGCTCATTCTTATTAACCTTCAACCAGGTTTTATGGGGTAAAAGTGACGGGGTTTGAAAGATGTGGGATTGTAAATGTAAAGATGATAACACACATAGCCTTTAGAATGCACTTTATTTATTAAAGAAATATTAGAATATTGATAGTAGCCTAATATCGCCATTGTCATAGAGAATTAAACTCCATGTTGTTATCCTCAGATTTCAGGACATGTAAGCAGGCAGTGAGCCACTGGGTGAAAAAGACCAATATTTGTTTTCTGCGCAGGTTTTCTGCGCATCTTCTTTCGGCTGAAACATTTAGGCTATTTTCATCCCGAAATACTCTCCAACTATCAAAGTACTCGTAACCTACGTCTGGCGAACTTATTGAAGAACATTTTAAGACCGAATTCGTGGAAATTGATCAATTATATCGAGTATAACTTGCCGATTGAATTTTTTTTCGAAAAATTGATCTTCCCTTTTTCGTAGATTTTGACTAAACGCCGACTCTGCCCCGATTTTATTTTTTAACTAAACGATTGCCATTAATGTCATGTTTCCAAATAACGTAAAACCACAAGTGAGCCTTGAGTGGCCCGATGAAGATACACTTTTTCTTTTTCAGTTTTGTAGATTTATCGAAAAAAACAAGATGGCGGCCGAAATAATTTTTCGAAAAGTCCAATTCAGAATATATTTTCTTTGATACTAACATAAACAGAGTCGTATTCAATTTTTCGAGGTTATAATTACTAAATATAATGTTTATAACTTCTATTCCAGCACCAGACGAATGCCTAGGTTCGTGAATCGTGTAAAAATCGTCCATGATTGATTATTTCAATTTTTCAAGAATTTTTTTAGAATGTTTTTGTCATTATCCGCTTCGTACATGTCATACCATCAAAAGACTAAAATTGTCAAATGATATATTGTTATTCTTCAATTAGTGTTTTGAAAACGGTTATCGTACACTATAAAAAAGTTCTATATGTAGAGTTTTCAGGTGAACCATGGGTTCCAGATGGTGGTAGGCCATGGGTGAACAGAAAGTAGAAAAGTCAAAACTGACTGGGAGTCATGTACACCACAGAGTGGGTAAAGGCTAGAGACCAAGAACTGAACCAAATAATAACGACAAAACAATCGATTTGGACACCAAGGGCTACTCTTTCCATCAAAAAGTTAATGTTTTCTTGACATAGACATATGGGGCTAGTGCAGTAGTGTGAAGACTAAACTAGCATTTCATATTATCAGCATATTGTGCACTAAGAAAGCAAGGGGATTCAAATTCAAAAATATTTCTCTATCTATGTATGCGTACAATACTGAAATGCTATCCTACATGGATATTATAACAGAATAAAGTATTTGCTTAGTTCATATACAAAGTTATATATATTTATCAAAAGATCATGATTTCCATGTCTTTGCTAAGCTTTATTTCATGGAATGTTATCATTATATATTGTGATATACTGCAGTGAAACTGGTAAAAAGTTACATATTTCAGTATTTGTAAAATCTTTGTGAATACTGAATAGTATACAGATTCATATATCATTAATGCAAAATAAAAAAGCAGTTGATTCTTTTGGGCTCAAATGTACACACAAAACATAGCACCTTTCATACAAATGTTCATGAGCTATTTGAAACCTGTATAAAGCAAAAAATAAAACAATACTACATTTGCAATACAAAAAACTTCCTAAATGCCAATTAGCATGTTCCCATACCAAATAATTTTTACAAAGTACTTGTTAAGTGTATTTTCACCCAAAAGAAATACCAAAATGTTCAAATATAGGTCAAATGTCATCATTTGAAGCAAAATATAGAAAATGCTAGAACTTGGGTAAAATGTACTATAGTAGCCAATGGCACACTTATGTGAATAACAGTACAAAGCAATAATGAATTGCCTCAAATACCATGATTGTTTAGAGAATTGCACTTTACTTCAGTATTCGTTACACACATGAACATCTTTCTTTATATTTACTTGCATAACATGGCTTTACTTGTAAATACCCATATATCTGTAAGCCATAGATATACCATTGCATAAATTTACATATATTTGTACCTAATGCTTCATGTTATACTAATATGTTATTCAAAATTTTTGTATTGACTTCTGACTATTTCTAACTACTGAAACTTATTTTCTCGCTTACATATTTTCATTGATTTAATACACGTTATATAACACAGGGCTTAATAATAATAACCGCCTGTAAAAAAGGAGTAAATGTTCATATATATCATCTGAGCAAGATCATCTGTCATATAAATTTAGCAGAATATGCATGTATTGCATTCAGGTATATATTTTTGTAATTGCACAGATTTGAATATAATGTTATTTTACTTAAAGTTTGAGAGTGATATCTTTATATACTAGATTTATATGTACATATACATTGTTTATATTGCAAAACCTTTTAATACCTGGGGAACCTTTAACATTATTTACCTGTATAACAGTTTGACACAGTTTGGACAGTTTACACATTCTTCAAATAACAGTAGTGTTTACAAATAAACATGAATTCTTGTCTTGATTAGAGCTGTTTTAAGTATGACATTTCCTGTTTTACAAAATTATATGTTGCACTTGCAAATATAAGTTTACTGTAAAATACAAATGCATTATATATTCTCATGGTGCATTAAATCTGCAATTTCATGACTGTTAAAGACAGCTAGACAGCAAACCTAGTAGTAAAAAAAATTAGGACAGCTTACACTAGACTAGACTGCAGTACAATATGTTCTACTTTACTTGTACACATATGTGCAAACATGGCAAGGTTTTTTTCACTTGAAAATCATGGACAAAAATGATTCCAATTTATAAAATAAAAAAGCAGCCCATGACTAGTTTGGCTGATTCTGAGTCCTGACTCTCTAATTAATTGACGGATGCCTTATATATGCCTGATATACCTACATGTGTATCAAATAACAAAGAAAATATCAGAATAAACACTCTTAGTCATATCAACATAAATTTGTTTATTTGGTCAAACATATTCAAATGAGATTCATCATTTTCAAAAAATTAGTAAAATAAAATCTTAACTTCTTACTTAACATAACTTTCTTATAACTTTGTATTTATGCAATGGGATATCAAACACGTAAAATATGATCTAGGCTAATTAGTAATTACCCACAATTACACAGTCCAGTGTTGAGTTGTAGTGAAGCACATGACTGCTGTGGGTTGTTTCATTGTCCAGCATTCAGGCATTACAACAACTGAAAGAAAAAAGTTTTTAAATAATAATGCAATATACATGACAATAATGTGTTAATTGTATGTATTGTTATTACTAGTTATTACGGGCATTAACAAGCCACGGGCTATTCTTTTTTGAAAACTATAATAAAACAACTTGTAAAAGTTGAATTAAATTGGCAGATATAAGTCATACATTAGAAAATTACCAACCAAAATTACCAGTTTAAGCATTGGTGGGACCACTGATGAGTTTCAAAGGCACAAATCATAAAGACAATACAATATTTATTATTTTCTAATAAGTATTATGTTGATCGGAAATTTTTTGCTAGATCCCACATTAAGCGGCCATTTTGAATTTTACGAGGCCTGAGACAGAAAAATTATTAATTTTTGCAATATACTTTAGATTTTTTCTAATTTGAGTATAATAAAGCTATACTTCAGAAAGATCTCAAAATTGACAAAAATTCCTGTTTTCTGACCCCCATACACAAAATTAAAATTCATACACTTTAATACAGTAGAACCTTTACTAGTAAACATGTCCTATTGAATCCCTACCAACAGTTAACCTTTCTAGTTAGCAAGCGAACACTTCTCTGTCAAATCCATTCCATCAGTTAACATTTATATTTGGCAAAAGCTTTTTCTCCCATTGAGTCCCATATTAAAACTTATTAATTTTAATACAGTAAAACCTGCGCTAATGAACACCTCTCTATTGAACCCCTGTAGACAGTTAACAAATATTCATTGTGCACAGGTTTTACTATATTCACATACTTAACAAATAACTACATACCATTAATCATCAATGAATATGTGGCACTAAACAATCAGCAAACCCCAATAGATCCTGCCTATCACCACTGCATCCCATCTATTTCCACTGCTTCTCACCCCCTGCTTCCTGCTGGTCCATGTGTGGTCCCCATCTTCGGTTAGTCCATGCCCACCTGTTACCCGCCTTCCAAAACCTAAATTTAACAGAAAATATGTTACTTAAGTTTAAAAATGGAATGCATGCTTTTGATATCTATAGTACACAACCTTAAAATCTGTAGTAAATATGTGCAACTGATAAACAGGTGACTTGAACACAGAAGTATACTGAAGTATACAGGTTGACACAATGTTATTTTTCCTATGATGCATAGTCCTGGTTAATACAAAAACAATCAATCCTTATATTTTTTCAGTATTTTAGAGTAAAAACTGTATTCTGTCACATAGTATTCAGGGGTGATGCTAGAATTGCCAACAAACAGGTACAGGTATATCTTAGCAGGATTTTATTATTATGTTTTAAGAATATAATCACCTCCAAGTCCAGTATGAATTACTGATCAGCTTCTCCAGCACAGCATAACAACAGGAAAGTCCATCCAACCTTAAACAAACAAAAAAGAATGATAATAACATTGCAAAAAACAAACTAGATATTCTCCCTTTTTAAGCTCTGATTCAAATGAAGCCAGAAGGGCTCACATTGGATATTTTACCTAAAATGTTTAAGGACCTAGCAAGACAAGAGTACAGTTAAAGAAAACAAAGAATGAAATCCTGTGCTAAGGGCTGATCAGACCCCTCCCTTCCAAGGCGATTGCTCTACCACCAAGCTTTTCCCTATCAACATTACATATAACTGAAAACTAGACCCTAAACTAGACCATACTACTGTATATTTCATATTTATAATTTGAAAAACTGAAAGGTGTATACTGGTATATACATATAAATGTGTATTTTGATTTCATATTCTTCAGCAAGTTTTAACATCAAAATCATATAGGCTATTAAGAATCACATGTTCATGTTTTAAGTGAGCTTGATAATCTAAGGTTGGATTATATGTAAAACTCAATTACAATTTTATATTTTCACCAGTTATTTTCACAAAGTCGCCTTTTGTTTTTTCAAGTTTTCCATGTTAAAGGATGTGTCTGGGTATATGCCCTTTTGGTCCCTCAGTCAAATGTATGTGAAATATGGTTTTTATTACTGTCCTAGTTATATTTGATAAGAATATTTACTTTTTCATGAGTTTTGATGCATAATAAGCCCCCTGCTGAGAGTCAGAATAAGTAGACTAACAAACAAAAAATAGTCATTATCATAGAAAAAAACACCAATGGCAACATGTATGACATACAAAGAAGAAATAACTTAAGACCCATGAAGAATTAAAAAGAAAATCATATTTTTGAAATATATTTAAGGATTAAAATTTTTTTCAAATTTTTGAATTTCCCGCCAGTTTAATTTGAAGAGGGAAAAACAAGATGGCTGCCATTTGATGTAAGAAATATCAGAAAAAAAGTTGCTTCACTTTTAGTTTTCACAATGAGCACAGTTTTCCGGTTTGGGTTTTTTGACTGAATCTGACTCTTCATCACCAGGGTCATGTATACGGATTATAAAATTGAAACCAAAATGTTGTGCTCAGCATGAATTTGACTGAAATATGTGTAACTTCACCAACACAATTGAAGTCTCAAAACTGGATGCTCAGTAACTTTGAGCGACTATAATCCCTTGATTACCCAGATAAACACAAAGTCACTTATCCAGAAATACCATTCAATGTCTATACAAAGAAAATAAGCAATGTTTTGGAGGATATGTTTCAAACTTTTTGTATAAATAATTCATTTAATATTTGCCATTGATTTTTTTTCAATTCTGACAAAGTGATATGCACTGTCTTTGATGCCAATATTCTTTATCAATTGTGATACAAATTGATATTTTAGTAATCTCAGAAGAAGGATAAGATATTGAAGTTTAGTAATATGTGTGATTGAGTTGGTTTTGCAGACATTACAATTTTCAATATTTTCTAAGTCGATACCCAGACTCATTCCCAGACTCATCCTTTATGATTTCCATTAATTTAGCCTGTTGTTTTCATTTACAGCCTGCTGTGGGAAATTCTAGTGAAACCTCTGTGTATGAGTTGAAAACCAATATGTTTCTACAATGACTCTAGAATACCTTTGCTTGTTTGCAATTTTATCATTCTTGGATTCACCACTTAAAATGCATAGAAATAACATACCTTGTATAGCACCTAGAGTGATAATACAGCATTGCCTTTTCTCAACATCCACTGGTCAAATGAATGATAATAGGATTGAGGCCCACCTGAAAAAAAGAAAAATAGTAATAATTTGAAATAAGAAATTGATTACATGAACAAATATTTCCATAGCCTGGCATATAACATATGTGCGCCATTCCCAGCATTTCGAGAAGGGGGCATCATCAAAGATTTTTTGGGCTCAAAAAAATTTTGGGCCCGAAGAAGGCCTTAAGGCCCAAAAAAGTGGGCCTTGAGGCATTATTTTTGAATTCAAGACTAAATTCTGAAGAAAATGGCCCTCAAAATTTGGGCTTTAAGGTTTCAGGGGCCCAAAAATTTTTCCCGCACGAGCACAGAATTTTTTTTCTCTGACTGGAAATTTGGCCCGCCCCCTTGATGTTTCCCAGATCCGCCCCTGATGTATGTGGATACAGAAGATAAGCCAGCCGAGCAACAACAAAAAATGGCCCTTTTGAGGACCAACTCATACTACCAAAAGAGCATTGTATTTATGAATTAGGCTAGGCCAATATATCTACATAGGCTTATGATTAAAATCAAATAAGCCTACATATGTGTTGGCTTAAGTGTGAATGTTTGACTGATGAGAGACAATTTAAAAAGTATGATAATTACCTTTGATGGTGATGAGTGATCGATAGCTGCATCTCGTATCACATAACTATATGGTAGTATATCTGAAGACCACACCTAAAAAACACATGAAACTTTCAATTTTGCACATGCTATTTATTGCAAGACTTATGCCTGGCACAACCGTCACCATGTTATTAAGTGTTTTTAAGTTTCGCAAGGATCCTGCCATGACTGTGGTATTGTTATCATGAAAGCGCTGGTATAAACGTGACAATGCTATATTATATTGCAATGCATATCATGACCGTGGTAATGTAAAAGCCTTATTTTTACAGTGACAATGTTCACATTCTTGAATGAAATTAGAATTTCATTTTGTTGAAATGAATTATGAGTTAAAGTAGTAGTACATGTAGTAGTTGTCTAGATTTACATATTTAAGGTAGATAAACGATGAAAATTTTCATTACAGTATTCTCATGCTACTAAATGTAATTTAATATAACCATTGTTACGGTCATACTGTGCTTTAACCTCATTACCACGGTCATGACAGGTTTTACAACCATTGCCTCAGTCATACAAGGCTTTTACATTACCATGGTAATGACAGGCCTTGCAATATAATATATCAATGTCACGGTCATATCAGGCTTTAACATTACCACGGTCACGACAGGCCTTGCAATATAATATAGCATTGTCGGTATCCCTACCCCCATAAATGTGGGGTTATATTGAGTTTTTTTTAAATTTAAGACATTTGTTTCTCAAAATAATTATTTTGACAAACAAATGTCCTAAATATAAAAAAACATCAAAATAACCCCACATTTATGGGGGTGGTACTACGGTCCTGGTAGGATCCTTGCGAAACTTAATAAAAACACTATAACATGGTGACGGCTGTGCCAAGCATAAGTCTTGCAACAGATAAGGTCTCAAATTTTGACGGTTGTGCCAGGCATAAGTCTTGCAACAGATAGGGTCTCCAATTTTGTTGAAAATCGGATCAAGAACTTTGGCTTTTAGTACAAACTCCTTCAATTTATTCGATAAATTGGTAAACCGGAAGTCATATTATCGGTTTTATTTCGTATATATCTCGAAAGATACCTGATGCCCCGTCAAAACTACTTGAAATTAACGAAAAACGATATGTTTTGAAACGAATTTCAACCATTTTGAACACCAAAGTTTAATGGCCCGCTGAAGATATGGTTTGCAGCGTACTCTGGTCTCATCGACTCAAAATTTATGTTCGTTGTTCGGACCCTCCAAAAACATACTTCTTTTCAAAGCATCGCAACGTTCTATACACCAAATTGAAGAAGAATTTCTTACCTTTTAGAAAATTCAGGTCGCCATATTCATTCTACATGGAGGGGATCCCCTTTTGACTAGAAAGAGGTCGGGGTCGAGATCTCGAAAAGTATCGCGAAGGCGCGAGATGTGCCAAATTTTAAAGAGATTTGGAAAAGAAATCTCTCTAAATAGGGCTTGGCGCAGATGACGGCCGATTGCCTGTAAGGTGATGTTATATATTTATATGGACTGGGGGCAAGCTAATGGAATTAATTTTGACAATTTTGTCAAATAAGGCTTTTAAAGTGTCCTTTGAAATAAATAAAAGTTCTTGTATAAATGTTTTTAGTACAAATTATTGTTTTAAATGTGACGCACCTATGTTAGTGTGCCGCCGGTTCTAAGGCGTCTGTCAAATAAATATTAAAAATAGAATATCGAACCGTTCAAAAATCAGAAATCCTAAATTTTTACTTCCTGCGAAAGCTATTTGGATTTTGATATAATAGTTTCAAAATCTAACATGGCTCTCGAAGTGAGTAACTAAATTTCACATTACTAGGATCAAAAAAATTATCATTGACTTAAAGAAGGATCGGTTAGAGGATAGTGTTTGGTTTTTCTAAGTCATGCTAGGTTTCAATTCTTACCTAAAGATGGCAGAATAGCTGTCCATCAAGACTTAACAAAATCAGTGAAGCCAAAAGCCACAACTCTGTTCTTTTCACTCATCATATAGGCAACACTTGGTCATTTCTCATAACCAGACTAGCTGGACTCTGTTATTTTCACGAGCCTGTATCTCAATACTTAAACATTTTACATCCAACCAAAGGGGCTGGACTTTGTCATTTTTCAACACCAGTGGTTCATGACTTAGACAATTTTAATCATTCATACAGTTGGACTTAACCATTTTCAGTGACATGTCAGTAAGAACTTAGAATAATTTGATCATTAAGTTTCATTGGCACTTTGCCAAATTGGTCATTGGCAGGTTGCCAATCGTGGTTTGGCAACATGCCAACAATAGTAGTTTTTGAGTAGTTTCTAGTGAGTTACGATGCGAAGTTACATTTGGGTCTCTTAGTCAGTACAGTAGCTCAGTAATGTACAGCTTGTAAATAGATAGTATAGTTGGACTTATAATAAAGTATCGTATGTTACTCTGAACTCTGAAGTTTGTCCTATCATATTGGCGTCATCGTTTCGTAGAGACCCAACAATATCTTATTGTGGAGAAAATGACTCAATTATAGTATGTCAAAGACTGGTGACAGATTTTATAAACTTCAATTCTAATTAGAACGACTTGGTGCAACAGCATGTTAAAAATTTGAATATTAGCTGATGTTACGAAAAATTATTCCAATATATTTCAGAATCACATCCATCCAAATGGGTTTGTGAGTGATTTGATAGAACCATCGCCATCATTCTTCCCATTCTCTGCCGGAGGAGACGCATTTGGACTTGGAATCCGTGGGTATTTTTTTTCTAAACGAGGTTTCTCTATGACAAAATTTCGTTTTGGTTGTTTTAAATATACTGGTTCAGGTTCACCGGGGGTTGTGTTTGGTTCAGGGAGGCGTCTGAGCTTGGGGGATGAGGAAATTGTGGGAATATTGAAATTCCTTCCGCGGAATACGGACTGTCCACGTTTGTCACTGATGCTATCATCCTCTGATGATTCGTCGTCGGAATATGACACTTTTGTATTGGTTTCATGTTGAATCTGGTGACTTCTTAATATCGGGGGAAGTGGAGGCCCTTGTGGGACAATATTTGATGTACACGTGCTCGTTGAAGGTCCTCTTCGACGGGGCATGGCGCTTTGATGGCCATCAAACCTTTTAGCGAGCTCACTGACTTTGCTTGATGAACGTGAAATTGGTTTTCTATCATTTATATCGGCATCTAGTTTTCCAAAGATGGCCGAAGGTTGGACCTCACGGCGTTGTCGAGCTGCGGCTCTGCTAGTTTTGGAAAATAATCGGGACTGTACAGCTGGAGCTCTGCCTATATGGAGGCTCTGTTCACTACCGCCTGAATACTCATCGTCGGAATCCTCCTCGTTCAATGGGTGCATGGTGGTTGGGGGTACCTCGTGATTAATGATGTCTGCAGTACATTGGGGTTTATATTGTGTTTTCTTAGCGTTGTTGTTGTATTGATAGTTGTTTCCATAGTAATTATGATTTTGTAACGCAACCCGTGGCAGTCCATACATCAAGTAATCCTTTTTGCTGAGAGGGGTTTGCATTACATTCTTGTGATATACTTGACTTAAAACAGAATTCATAGGAGGGACACCGAATCCATCTTCAATTGTTGATCCGATGGTCTGTCGAGAAACACTTTGCGTAGCCAACCGATCGTTCATTTGCTGCCGCCATCCTAACCACTGTTGCATGTTGGCCTGTGTTCTACCTTGTCCCTGGGTATACTGCCACTGTGGATATGGTGCTAGCTGTTCTTGTCCCCCATAATTGTATACCGTTAGCGATTGCTGTGGACCATAATGAACCGCCGAGGCTGGATTACCATAATATGGATTCATTATTGCATTCAAGTCCTGATCCGGGAAACTTACTCGTGTACGCTCACTTATTATGTTGTTCTCTTCGACATTAAGTGTGCTACACGGTCCACAGTCTTCGTCATCTAGGAAGTCAAAGTCCTCAAAACGAACACTTATACTTGATTCGTTATTACTGATAGTCCTTTTCCTTTTGTGTGTTAAACTAAATCTAGTAGTAAATTTTGGATCTTCTCTTAATGATGACTTCTGGCTCACATTTGGATTGATAGCATCCCCACGATACTTCAGTGTATTTGTTGGTGTATCGTTCTCATAGATTGTCAAAGCATCAACACAACTGGTATTGTCGTACTTATTTATAGATTGACAAAGCGTGGCACCAAACCCGTCAACTGCTGTTTCCTGTATTTTCGATTTCCTAAAATAATTTCCAAAAGAATATTTTTTAATGATTTAATTATATATATGATCGATATTGCAATGTTTTAATTAATTAATTGTTTGGTTTGAGTATGAGTAATTTTAATAATTAATTGTTTGGTTTGAGTATGAGTATTTTTGACCCAAAAAACGAACAAATTAAAGAATACTTACTTTCTGTTCTTCTTTGATTTCCAGAGAAACGAGATGGCTTTCATGTTCTTATTCAGTGTTTGTCCATTATGACTTGAATACCAACTGAGTTCATTACGTAGTTCAATTAAGTTATCTTCTTCTCAGTCGCATGTTATAAATAGATACTTATTTCATTCGTAACATTTATGTACAGGGTGGTAAAAACGGCAGCCCTGTCACTATTTTCCCCATACATATATACCATCATCTTTGTCATTTTAGGGAATTACTCCCTGATATTTGGCACATATGTACATTATTCAATTTTCCACTTGCCTACCATATTTCATCTTTCAGACTGATAGTCACAATGCTACAGCACTTTAAACAACATGTTCCAGTTGCCAATATTGCACTGTAGGCAAACCTGCGCGATGATGGCCACATCTGGGGCATGTTGTTCAAAGTGTTGCAACATTGCGACTTTCAGTCTGATGGTCATGAATAATGGTAGGGTGGTAGGAACTTGTTGTACAAATATGCCAAATAACAGGTTGTAATTTCTTTAAATGTCAGAAATATGAGGAAAATACATGGTTGCCGTTTTTTACCACCCTGTAATTATATAACAGAAAATATAAGAAATATTTGTAAATTAATTTGAACTCTTTAGCAGTCTGTATTTTAATTAGGGTGGATGAATATGTAATGGAACATGTGTGGCAACAGGGCAATGTATTGCAGTTGTATAATTTTTTTAATTAATATATTCTGAATGGCACCAGGTGATTTGACATCGGGTTCTCATTTACTTGATTCAACAACACTGATTTGTAAAATAGTGGAGAGTTGAGTAAGTATATGAATTGAAATGGCAACGTTTACGTATAAATCGCCCATATAAAAATACATGTACTCACGGGGTGTCATCGAAATATTTGTCCAGCTTGGGGGAGCATGTTGCCAAAGTGCAATGATCATTTGCGGATAACCTTCACTTCTCTTTGAAGTCCAGACCGCTAAGAGTAAAGCTATTGAAAACGACGCCGGAGTATCACACTCTAAAATGTACTAAAATTTCTTTTTTAACTTTTTAATGGCACGATAAACAGTCAAGTCGAGTAACTAAGTCAACATTCAAAATTAAAAGTCTCAAAAATCGTACACCTTTGATTTCCAAAGTAATTTGTGAGGTGGTCATTAAGATGATAGAACACATTTCAACGTATTAATTTTGAGTTCATCTTGAATCCATTCTCAACAAAGCGTTCGCGAAATAAGTATTCAAAATGTTTGAGTTCGGGATGATAAAAGTACGTTAAGATATAACGCTCCTTAACAAATTCGTTCGATGGGATAATCAGATCAACTGAAGAAAAAATGATTGAATCACAAATTAATTTGGAACAGAGGCATTCCATTTGCAACATATTGTTGTTTTCTGAATGAAATGTTAATTTAAAGCAAAAATGCTAATTTGTATGCATTGACATAGACATGTTAGTTGTGACAGCAAGGGAGAGGGGGTCATGAGCCTTAAAAGATATAGATTTATATATAGTGTGACATTCGAAATAATGTATTATACATTTCTAAAACACAGTTATTGGGTCATAGATTAACTGTTCAAATAAAGTTAGTAATACTACATTTAATTTTAGATGCTCCCCTAGATTTAACTAAAGCTAGTGTAAGACTTTTATGGTACCATTTTCTATAGCACGAATTTCTACTTTCATCATAGTCTGTCATGAAGAACTTTGGCTTCTAGTCATCAGTGCTCCAAAGGCGGAATCTGTTAAGTGCCTCTTCAATTTCAAGGTTTTTGCCCTGTTTGAGGTCAATGCTTCGGCCTTTCTGATCAAAATATTCTTATGGCGCTTCTTCAAGCCTTCAAACCAATCCTGAAGACAATATCAGATCATGCAATTTAATAATAATTTTAAGGAAATATTAGCCACATGTGAAATAACATAGAAGTTCAGTTGATTCAAAAATATTTTAGCAAATGGTGATTTGATACAATAACTTTATTTCAGTTCAACAAAAATTAACAGTTTTGTTTTATTACTAATTGTAGTTCCTTGTTGGATTCGAACCAACACCTTCTCACCTTTAGGCAAAACGTGCTATCCATTACACTAAAAGAACGGGTACAAACATATGTAAATAACAAAACTGTAAATATTAAACAGGTCTTGCATCAAGCTCAAGTTTCTCATTTCCTTTCATACCAACTTTCCATTGGGTAAATAGTATCATGGGGCAACCAGAGACTTGTTGCAAGACTAAATCTGTAGTGGAAATGTAATTTGAAATTCCAAAAGACTAATGAAGATAAATTTGAAATCAACTGAACTCAATTAAGGGAGCATTTCAAAATATAAATATTGGAAAGCTATCTGTATTTGAACAGCAGAGGGGAGTGGGACAGTGGGTCATTAACTTAAAATAGTGAATTTCGCATCAACATTTCCCACAGCATTGAGGGGGGGGGGGTTCACAGATTAACTGTTCAAATACATCTGGTAATCTTGCATTGAAATTAATTTTAACCACAATGTTATATATTACCTTTCCGGGTTGCATAATGTATCTAGCATTTTGCCACCGAGCCTTCCATTAACCCATTTGTTTCCATCACCTAAAATTAAAATTGGCGCATACAATCAAAAAGAATATACATATAGAAATAAGAATGAATATACAATACCTAAAGCTTACCTTCCATCAGACAGTGTTATAGTGGGGACACCATGCTCCTCTATAGCCTTATGTATGGAACGCCCATGTTTCACCTCATCAATGGCAGCTTGCAGCTGTTCTTGTGAGTACTGCCTTCACACATTCTTACTAACATATCTGCGCCCCATGGTCCTAAATGAATAAACTAAGTTATAAATTATTGAAATGGGGGGGGGGGGGGGTTCACAGCAAGTACTAGTGGCACAAGGTGTTTTCTAATGGAAAAAATATTGGCTAAAATTGAAAAAGTATCATATGTATTTTTACCGTATTGGCATTTTAATAAAAAGATTTTTTTAAATATATGAACATATTGCGTGATTTGAGTGTCATTTTATCATACAGTACACCCTAAATTGATGCGTGATTTCTATTTTTCAAGCAATTGGATCGGATGACCCCCCCCTCTGGATTTTTCCCTGGAACTTCTCTACCAAGAAAAACTATTTTTATAACTCAAATACACTTATTTAAAAAAAATCATTATCTATTTAGTATCTTAGGTCCCGGGTGAGATTTGTTTCCTATCCCCCCAGTTTTCGATATCTCATTTCGTCAAATTTTTGACTAAATCACCTCTCTGGAGCTAGGAACGGTATTTATCCAAGGTGCAATGACCTTCGATAGCAAGTCGCTACTACAGTCTCAGCTATAGCGGCTAGCCTTTATGGCTCAGGGGTAGAGCGTCTGACTCGAGAGCGGAAGGTCCTGGGTTCGATTCCCGCATGGGGCATTGAATTTAGCACATTCTCTTTCGAGTCTAGTATCTGGCTCGGTACACTACAGCTCCCCGACGAGCGTGCCCAAGGGTCGTTACAAAGGTCTTTTGCCCTAAAAAGGTAGATACTATAGACATTTGACTAACACATTAAGTACCCTTTTCTGGATAAAAAAACAACATATTATTTTTGAGATTTTTTTACACCCCTCGAAAGTCTTGAATGACCTACAATATAGTGAAAATATATAGTGAAAATACTAGTGAAAACTGAAAATGTACAGATTTTATATTTTATTTTGTTTATCTTGTGTGTATATAATTTTACAAAAAGTATAAAGAAATGATTCGGTTCACTTCAAATATTTGAGTTTTTGTGGCGGTGGTCTTGAGTTCGAAATCTATTGAAAATTTTTTAAAATTCGGATAGATGGCGGAAAAAGCGGTCATATCTTTTTATTTCAATGGCCTTTCTATGCAAAAACATTTTCAGTTTTAAAGGGGACATATGGAGCTATCCCTTGGTATATGGGGTTATGCACCGAAAATCCTTGTTTTTTCATAATCAATCCAAAGATTTCAATATTTTCCAATTGTATTAAATAAGAGCATTTGTCTGTGGAAATGTCCCGTAAAAATCCCCCAAATATCACGGACGTCAAGTAAGTTTCTGGCGAAAGCCGGAGCATAGATTATTTAAGAGGACTGGAAACAAGAATGACCTACCTTTTTATTTCCCGAATCTCGCCTGAAATTAGCTCATCTTGGTGACTGTAACTTTGTATCGCATCTGCCTCAATTTAAAGTTTTATTGGTATTTTCAATATGATTTCACTGTTTTTGTGGACTGGTACGATTGGGCCAAGCAAATGGCAGCTGACCTGTTCAAAATACTTTTAGTACTAATTATCACAAATGACAATAATTTTGGAAACAATATTATACTAAATAGATTACTAAGAATCTAAGGTAAGTAAAACTTACCCCCATAAATGTGGGGTTATTTTGAGGATTTTTGATATTTAGGACATTTGTAACGACCCTTGATAGCAAGTTGCTACTACGGCCCAGCTGTAGGTTCGATTCCCATGCGGGGCATTGAATTTAGCACACTTTCTTTCAATTTCTTTATCTGGCTTGTTACACTATGCTCGTTAGTTGTTAGTTAATTAGTCATTCCCCTGGGGCGCCCTCGGGTCATTACATAATGATACTTTCCTGAAAAAAGGAAGGCAATTGACACATGCCTTCATACTTTATTTTGTACCAGAAAATAACATGTGCAGGTATAGCAATTTTTTACAATAAAATTTTTTTTTTCAAAATAAAGTATGAAGGCATGTATCAATTTCCTTGCTTTTTTCAGGAAAGTATCATTACATTGTCTTCTTTTAGAATATCTGGTAGGCGTTCAAAGGGAACTCCAGGGAATTCTGATATTTCACACTTCCTGTTTTTCCAAATTTTCTTTCAAAGTTTCCAGACAACACAGGAGCTAGATCTACCATTGACCTGTTTCCAGGTTTACTAAAAGTAGACAGTGTAATGCTACTTTCCTGAAAAAAGCAAGGAAATACACACATGCCTTCATACTTAATTATGTACCAGAAAATAACATGTGCAGGTATAGCAATTTTTTACCAAAATGTTACTTTCCAGCTGAACCTTAAATATGGTATTTTATCATCTATTATAGCCCACAATAAATGTAAAAAAATTGGTAGATGTTATTGTTTAGTTGTTCAAACGTTCAACTCAATAAGACCATGCACTATTAGAATAATGTATAAAACTGATGTACTTTTACAATGTGGAACATGCAATTTCTTCATAAAACTCTTTAAAATGATGTTTTCGTGCACAGGATCTTGTAGCACGTTTATGATGACTGATATGAGGCTGCCTGATATGGGAGACTGATATGCTTTATATACTACTTTAATATACTACAGGGCCTATCATAGTGCTCATCTCATATCATAGTGCTACATGTCTCTGTGTTTTCGTGAAGTTTGTACTGACCCCGGAAGTTATCATAATGGTGTCTCAATAATTTTCATAATGTTTTATGATTTATGATAAGCTACAATATATGCCTAATTGGCAATAGTTATCTGATTAGGCATTTTAACAGAATCGTGGTATTTTATGAGGGTGATTATAGCGTATTTTTATATAAAACGAAAGCGAAAATGAGCAATAAATCGAGGACCAAAATGAGGCAAAAGAAAATTTTTACCAACACAATTGACATTTGATCCTGGATTTGTTTATACTTTTACTTCACCAAATTACAAAATGAGAATGGACAAAGTGGCTTTACAACAACATTCTGGCAGATTGCCTTCTATTTTTATGCATTCGTGATAGGTGTCCAAAAAGTGAGTATGTTTATAACGTTCTTTCTTTCCATTTCAAAGACATGTTTAGATCATCATGGACTTTCAAATTCAAGAAGGGGTGTACTGTAATTACTCCCGTCGAGAGCTACTTAGATTTTGAAAGTATAAGCTATACTTTCAAAATCTAACATGGTAGCTCTCGACGTGAGTAAGGGTGTAATTGTTGGACAAATGCCTGCATACACTGAGTGTCGGACAACTACCTACATGGACGTCATTGCCTCCCTGTACTCTAACATAGACAACATTTTGTTTCAATTTGAGGTATTCTAACTTCGATGCATGGGGTATAACTTCGACACCTTGTTGTTTATTTGCTCTTATTTCTGATTAAGGTGGAAGCCACATTTTTTCTTCTCGCATGGATCTGTTTTAGCTATATGTCCGTCTCTGGATGGATCGAGATCTCACGAAATTTTTATTTATTTGAAATGTATGTTATTGATTTACCTACCCTGCGTGTGCCTAGTAGAGACCATATTGCAGTTTAGTAGCCCCGCCCCCACGACGGGTACCGGTGACAGTTTGGGTAATAAATCACACATAAATAAACGTACGCCAAATGCGTTCTAATTAAATGTTCACATGTCATTGGTCAATTCTGGGCTCAACGATGACGTCAGAAGGAATGGCCATATATAGGACGTCGGTCAAATTTGGCCGACGAACACTGATTGGCGCGGTGAGTTCACAGGTTTATTTTAGTTTGAAAGAGTGAAGACCAAGCTCTCTTTTAAGAAGTGAAGTCAAACGAATGCAAAGGGTATGATTTACCAGAAGTGCGTAAAGATTTTTGTATAAAGAAAAAAGGGTAAAATGTTGCCTTGTTGGCATATACATGTTTTAGGCATGCTGGGAGAATTGTGTTTTTGTAACCTCAAACTGCAGGCTTTATTAGACAGATAATGTACCAAAGTGAAGATGTTGCACAAAATTTAGAATTGGATTCGTGCTCCATCTGTTGTGAGTAAATAGGCACGATTTGAAGGATATCATTGTTACAAATTGGGAATTTATAGCCAGTTGTAATTCAGTGAATAATGACATTACCGAGGATGAATGCTGCAGTTTTTATCTGACTCAAGATGCCGAACATGAATCTGTAATGGAGAACTTCCCATGGGCATCAGAAAGGGGGGTGCGTTGGGTGCGAAAGATAAGATTCCTATGTAACGTTGGTAGCATTGTGACTTTTTAATAGATCTCACACCTTAGTCAAGTATTCGTTTAGAGAAATCATAAAATACTAACAGATTTCACCGTTTTTTTGTAATTTTGTAAATGAGTATTTTTGTTCGAAAATAGGGAGGTTTAGTTTTTAATTTGGTAGTCTGTGAACGTTTTTTCGTATATTTTTCCCTGGCAATATGCTCATCATGTTCCCAGACATCGGAGGAGCATTCAATTGAAATAAATTGAGTCATCCTTCCACTTTTTTCCAGAATTCATTTGAAAAAAATATAATACGAGCTATCAAATATTAAGCCTACTTTTTAAATTGTAATGTATTTTCGCAAAAGAACATGTTAGCGGTAGATCTAACGGACTAAAATGTTGAAAAATTATTCCATCGTTTAAAACAGAAAAATGTTGCATGTACATGTAGCAACACAGAAGAATGTTACACTGAAAGAATGTTAGGTAAGTATCCCTTAACAAGCACAGATTATAAACAAATGATGACCAGGGATATTATTTATTTATTTGGGTACCCAATGGCAGATTGAAGGGGGAGGGGGATGCGTCCCTTCTCAACCAAACCAACTTCTTCTTTACAAAGTAATAATTTTATGTGCAGGATTGTGCTCTGAAATTTCTCAGAATGCACCGAATGATGTTCAATTTTCATTTTCTGTGGAGAGAGCCCTCCCAGATTCCCCACTTCTGGCCCTTTTCGCTGCGCTCACTTGTCATGGTAAGCTTCCCTCATAGCCATTATCAAGCACCCCCTCCCTAACTCAAAATCCTGGATCCACGGCTGGTACCAATGGGTAGTATCAATATTAATCTGATAAATCGTATGAGTCAGGCCATGAAAAAAGAAGTGGGCCAAGATTTTAACAATAAATTAATTTAAGAGCTACTTTACTAAGGCTCCAATGGTAAACCAAACCCATAGTGTTGCACAGGTTTTAGGGCTTGCTCAGTACCTTTGGTTCGAAAACTGTATGTACAGTTTTTGATGGTGTATTAATTCAGAAAAAATTGACATTGGTAAAGATATTTTCATTTGCTTGCTTGTTTGTGAAGTGAAAAATTTGTGCCCAAAAAGTCAGTCTTTTTAGGCGTTACTGGTAGATTAAAGGCAGAATCAGATCTACATGCATAGGGAGTGACAAAATTGCAAGCAATATGTACAATTGATCTACCAATGTGTTCCTTACCAGCTCAAATATAATATCTCCCAGAAGATCAGTGATCAATTAATGAAGTTATTTAAGATTCAAAGGAATGATATGAGCCTAGAATATTCTAAAATTGGAACAATTTTTGTCGAGATGAAGCAGCAAAGTAACAAAAATAATTGCTAGATCAATGATTTCAGTCGATACAGTTTCATTTATTTTTTGATTACAGCGAAGCAAATAAGTATCTCCCCAGGATTTTTTCACAAAATGGCGCTAAATCTTAATTCTCCCTGTTTTGGTTAAAATGCCTCAGTGTTACACCATTTTGGGGGCAGGGGCAAACAAATTTTTAACAGGGTGCATGTTATTTCCAGATTTTCAACATTGAGGACTTAGGATGAAGTAAAGAAATGTTCTTTCTCTTCATCATTGGAAGCACCAAGTACATGTAGCTCCTCTAATTCAAGGGAGATGAGTGGTAAATTGAGCTCTTAGAGATTCATTCCTTGCATACAATTTTACAATTTCCCTATAAGTATTGTCAGATGCAAATGAAATACAATTGCTTCATATTATGGCTTGCTGTTCTACTTGATGCTGGGAATAAATTAGAGTAATCTGAAGCCATATCAAATTAGAAGTGGAAGGCTATTGATTTTGTGGCTATAACTACAATACGGTCTTTTACTTGGTCATCAATCTATGGAGATTATAGCTTTCCAAGATACCTCTACAGAATTGATCTCATTACAGATGGCTGGTTAACAGGTCATTCTATCTTCATGCAGTTCATACACTACTGTATAATGTAACTTGAAAGGAGTAAAAGGGATAGAGATGAGCAAAGAGTAACTTTTGAAAGTGACGTGTTACTATGAAATATATTTTACAGTATACTAGTACATGCATTTGTATTTTGCTCCAACCATTCCATATCATGCCTTTTTTCAAGTCCAACAGAAAAATACATGAAATGAGAGAAAATGAAAACTATTAAAATCTACAGTCCATGCAGCCATTGAACCTGTAACTTGTGTCTTAACCCTGGATTTTTGTTGATTAAAAACAACATAAATATGCATGGAAATTTCATGCTTGAATCAAAAGTTGTAGGGAATTTTGATTTGAAAAATACGTAATGGCAGCCTTGTTGTACTTTGTCAGGAACATAAAACTACTCTGACAAGACAGAGGACCTGGATCTCCCCTAAAAGACAAAATGATACAGTACATGCAGCATGCATTGCAGTTCTTTCAAACCATACAAGGCCTCATTTTATCAGACTCTATGTCTATGTCAATAATCTACAAAAGACTAATAAGCCCATTATTGTTTTATCAGACCTTAAGCCTATTTCCTGTCAATTCTCCAATTTGGAACAGATTTCTTTTAAGAGACAATGTGTTGACAAGTTGTACACTTTCCATATGGATTTCCAGAGATGCTCTACCTGTTAGTTGCGTAATATGCAGTAGGTGTCTTGATCATTACATTGTATACCCTTGCAAGTACAAGTATCGATTAGCATTGTGTTGAGAATTCAATTATCTTAAAGAATGTGAGCAACAAAGAAAGGAAATTGTACACTAAAGACGATTTGATCAATGTAACAACAGGCACAAATGTTTGAACAATTATGTTAAGAATTGTACTTGGCATGTACTAGTTTAGTGAACCTGGAGTAAATTAAAATCTGAATGGTTTTGGCAAGAGCTAAAGTCTTCCAATTAGGAGGTAGTCACATTTCAAGGTTTTTGCATTTGTGGAATTCAAAATTTTGGAAAACTGGGAACACATCTTCTATAAATATATGGAGTTCAGTTGTCTCTAACATACATGTACCAAAAATTAAAAACGATATTGTAACATTGTTACATGTACATCTGATTCTAATAGCAGTGATCTCCCCAGCATTAAAGTAAGTGGGTGTAGCAGCACCTTCCTGAGATTTATAAACAGATTTGCACCAACCTGAAAATTTATTAGCACCTACATGTACTTGAAAATGAGAAAAATTAATGAAAAATGGGCATGTTTTGACAAATTTTGGTCTGAATTGTGAAAATAAGAAGTTTGCACCCACTTGATAAAAAAATCCTAAGGAGATCATGCTAAATAGATTTACCAGTCCTATTTGAAATATGTGATAAAACGATATTAGTCTATATTGATGAAATAATTACTTATGAATTATGAATCAAAGTATTTGATATCCAAGATATTATTAAGTATGCTAAATTGTGGGAAGTAAAATCTGTTACCAATAACTAAGGTCAACAGAAAATGTTCAATTTTAGTACAAATCCAAGCGATATATCAAGTTGTGACTAATTCAAAAAACCAACCATTTCTTAAGACATCATTCCACTTATTGTTAGATATTAGAATTTAAGTAAAATAGGAGACATCAAAATGGAAGATTTAAAACTTTTGTTTGCTATTCAATACAATCATATCTTGTCATATCTATTATTAAACTGACTTGTTATATTTTATTTTTCAGGTTGTAAATGAAAGCCATACCCCTTCGAGAGGTGAGTTCGGATGTGAGTATCTATGTTTACAGTTTATCTTCATGCTCTCTTTCATTTTAATATTTAATTGGTATCCATGCTTCATGTGATCTTAGTGTCATATATACCGACAAATATATGCCACTGTCAAGTCTGTAATGTCATGTATCAATGTTTCTGTTGTTTTTCTCAGTGTAAAATGAACGAAGTTGGTAGGGATATAGAGAAACCGTCCATTTGGTTCAAATTTGATAGGCTTAAATGGGTGTAGGACATCTGCTTGAGAAGGAATTTTCAATATGGCAGCTCAATTAAAAATGGCCACCATTTTTCATAAAAAATCTAATCTTATACCAGTTGACAGATTGGTTCAAATTTTATATGGTAATGCCTAAGGGACATAAGAATCTCCAAGAAAGACTTTTTAAGGTTACTACTCAATCAAAATGGCTACCATTTTTTCATCAAAAAATGCAGTTTTTGATAATTTCAATACCAGATATAGGATTTGTTCCAAGTTTTATAAGCTAAATGACCTCTGCTCTAGAATGAATTTCCAATATGTCTACTCAATTCAAAATGGCCAAATAGGTCAAATACATGTACCAGTTGAAGAAGGATTTGGTTCAAATGTTATATAAATTTCATATTATTATTTTTTATTTATATTTATCATATCAGCTTTATTTCAATCTTGTAATGTCCAAAATGACTGGGGATTTAATAAAAAATGTTTTGTTCTGTGGGATTTGCTTCTCTGTGGAGTTGCTGTTTTTTGGTTAATAACACGCTTAGAATTTCTCAGGGAGCACCTTTACGCTCACCTTTATTACTTCACTTTAGAAATATGATACTTTTATGCTCATTCTTTTTCATTAGGGAAAGATCTATTGCTAAACCTTTGTGACATCTACATGCAAATTAAGCTCGACTAACTCAAGAAAAAGTAAAAGCAAATCCCTTGGTGGTAGAGCAGTTTCCCACTGAGCTTTTCAAAGAATGGGCTCAGTGAATAATGAATTGTGATGAATACGTCATGGCAGCTTCTTGGGATGAACCATTATGTTAGAGTTGGGAAAAATGTGATGCCTTAAATACTTTACATCTGTAAAAATGTTACTTGTGAATTTTGCTGTCTTCATGCTCGTCTCTCTCTCTTTTTTGTGATACATAATAGCAGAAGACTAGCATAGTTAATATAAAAAACAACAGCCGCTAGGCAACACTATTTGACACAAAGAGGAGGGAAGTTAGCGCAACAGATTTTGGACAGTCATATGTTTGATTTTGGCCATTTCCTGGGGATTTAAACAGGTGCATATGTTAGGCGGATGCAAGAAAAATTAAAAAAGCAGGGATGGAAGGGGTCGAAAATTAGGAAAACATTTCAGAAGAAACATGTGGGTGGGTTGTTTGCATCTACCCTGTCTCAAAGTCGAAATTATTTTATCATCTCTAGAAGTGATTTTCCTGGAGGTAATGCATTGGCCTAACATATGCAATTGTTTAAATTCTCAGAAAATGGCCAAAATCCAACATATGACTGTCCAAAATCTGTTGCAGTAATTTCCCTCCCCCTTTGCATAATGTGTGTTTTAGTTCTGCTCATGAAGTTAAATAAGTTAAATAATATCGATTTTTAAGCAGATTTAAATCTTTCATTTCTTGTATGTTACTGTGTATGTTATTGCATTGTAATTAAGGTGTGCCACCTTGATAAACATATTTTAGGTTTAAAGGTTTTATTATCAAAATAATCAAAACATGTTTAACATAAACAGCTATTGCTGAGGCAATGTACAGCTTAATATTGTTATTATGTTATTTCATGTTATGTTTACACACCATAGTATTTAAGGATTGGCTTATCAAAATTATGGCAATTTTAGTTTTTTTAGTTTTTTTTCAATATGTTACCTTTAATTGCATGGCTTCAAATTCTCCCTTATCTAGCTATTTGTATTGCAGAATAATAAACATTTCAAACATTTCCTTGTTAGATATATTTTCCTTATCAAACTAATCAAACAATTTTAAAGATGCAGTCATTACACATATATCCACAATTCTGATTTACATCTCTCAAATTGTATTTTCATATTATTTTTGCATGTACTTGTGGTATAATAAGAAACCATTTTAACCAATGTGTTATGATTATAGCTTAAAATGCTATGCTCTTGTTGCAAAAGAAATAAAAGTAACGTCCCTTGGTAGAACGTCTATGAGATTAACTCGTTCCTGGTATTAACTGTTGTCCCCTGGCTCAGGCATGATAAATATCAAGAAAGAATGGTTAGAAATATTTCTAGAAATATTCCAACCTGATTACAGTAGCCTAGTAAAATGTATTGAAGTAAAGAAAATCATCACTAGAGTATCATCACACACAGAGTTATGTTTTTTGATAATGAAATGAAATGGAATTAAATCATAATTAAAGGAGGAAATATTTGATGTGATCAATGATACAGGATATTTCAGCAAATATTACATGTACCAATTAGGATACACCAGTCTTATCATAAGAGTCAATATAACAGTGCGATTTATCAAAGATGAAACATATCTTAACTGTACACACGTCAGCAAAAGATTGGCTGCAAATGAGGCTTGAAAGAATGATTCTAACAGACTTGGGAAAGATAACTAGGAAGCTTTGAGGCAATTAGTTATCTGGATAGGTGAAATTAAACAAGTTGAAATTTAGACGATTTCCAGATTTTAGACATCAGACTTTCTTTAGCTCTTTTTAATTTGATATAATATAGAATTTAAATGTTAACGATTTTTCTTTATTAATTGATTCTGATCTATTTTTAACTCAAAATTAAGATTTTGATAATTCTACCTGTTACCTTTAAAAGGTGAGGAATTGTAGAATATAACTCAGGAATTATCAATCTTTAATTATTAATTATTGTAAAAATATAGTTCTCAATTTGTCTTAAATTGCTACAGATCATGAGCCCTGAAATGATGGTTTCTTTACACTTTGGGAAGTCCAAAATGTCCACTGAAATGTGAGAGTTAGTTGGAATCTTGAGATATTTCTACTTTTGTTCTTCATGCAAATTGAATGTATTTAAAGATATATAGCAAATATTTCACTGTGATATCTTTTAGATTTTTTCAGATTTCTTATGTTTGTGTAAAAATGTCATTGAAAGTTTAACCAGAAGTTGCATTTCAATTCTGATTTCAGATTCTGAATCTTCTTAAATTTTTATTACTGATAAAATTCGTAAAACAATAGTGACCGTATTGATCTTTATGTTATTAATGCTGGTGTCTCAAAATCTGTTAGAGTAATCAAAAAATGATGAAATAAAGTAAAAAAAATATCATTGAACTAGGAAGAAGGAAATTGAAAACATTGTAAAAACCCACGTTTTGAGCTATATTTTGACATTGATGGAAATTTGAAATGGCATTGTAGCTGAGGAAGAAGAATTTGGTCAAAATAAATAACTAATGTAATGGCAGTTGCAGAAATCAATCTGCCTGAACTAGAATTATTCTGAAAAGGAAGTTCAATTAATTTGTTTATTGAAACTCCAAAACAGCACAGTTGGACCCAATCTATTAAGTATCATGGTACAATATGACTCCATTCAAGATGAGGAAGGTCTATTACAGGTGATGTTGTATACTGGCATTTGTATTTTTGTAACTGACTAGTATTTGTCAAATAAGTGGAATCCAATGTCATATATACTGTACATATAAAAATAAACATTACCAAAAATTATTTAAACGAATTAATCAAATATACATGTAGGTTGGTATTTATGCCAGACTCATGCCATCATATTATGAATGAAATAATGCGGCAACTGAAAGTGTACTTTACTATATAAAAAATCAATGTGTTAACAATAACTAGTTGCTATATATAGGTTTATTTATCACACACTTTAAGCAGATTTATTGATTTTGGCTTGAATTGGCAAATGAAAAAAATGAATAATAACAATAGACTTAATCAATCAGTCAGTTTGATATGTACGTTTTCATCAAATATGTTTTATGTCAGTATTGATGATATTCAAAAGAATTTATTCCAAAAACACAGAGTTACATAGTACTGTACTAGTTTAGACTGAAGTTAAAATTAAAGATATCATTAGCATATCTGTTTAGCACAGTTAGCACCTGTTAAATATTGCTAAGCCTGATATTATGCATAGCACATGAAACATATACATTTATGTATTTATTTTTGTCAGCTCTGACTTAAGATTGCTGTCTTAATGTGATAAACTGGAATTCATTTTATTCAAAGGTGGATGAAAGGAGTAACACAGTTAAAACAAAAAAGCAGGCTTTCTCTATCCTCAAACCATTAATGCAGTGAAAACTCAAATACGTTTAACAATGAAGTAGTCCCTGTGATTTACCTCTTCCCCATACCCTACCTCATGTACTTGAAATGTTAAAAAAACTGAAATTCTTTTCTAGATGTCGAGCCAGAAATACAAGCGCACTAACTTTGTTGATGATGAGGGCTCATCGGAGGGAGGGACACCCCCTGGGGTTACATACAACCCTGAGATTGTATTCAAAGTAGGGACAAGTATGTGGCAAGATCGTACCATACTTGAACGACTGTTTGCCATCTTACTCCTTGCGCTGACTCTGATTGTGGTGATCTTGGCTATCATTTTAGCGACCAAACATGACAAAATACAACAACTTACTAGCAAAAAAGGTATGTTAAGAGTTTTTAGCTCACATGGTGAGCTTTTGCAATCGCTCACTTGTCCGTCTGTCTGTCCGTCCGTCTGTCCGTCTGTCCGTCCGTCCGTCTGTCCATCAACGATAGTGGAACATTTTAAAACCTCTGTCGATAGGATTCCTGTTTTAAGTTATTTCTGTTCAACATCAATACAGAAAACTCCCCTATGACTCCTGGTTCAAAAGGTCACCTATTTTCAAAATGGCCACCATTTTTGTCTCGCGAAATTCACTTTTGACCCATTTTCTAGCTTTACAAATAATTTCAGGTGTCCTACATTGTAAAAATCCATGTCAATGTAAAGAGTAGATATATGAAATAATTTTGTTACAAAAAATCAGCGAAAAATTATATCCATTTTTTTATTTTTAGCCATTTTAGTTAACATTGATTTGTCTATCTGACTCGCGAAATCCACTTTTCTTTCAACAACAGTGGCACGTTTTAAAACCTCACTCGATAGGATTCCTGTTTTAAGTTATTTCTGTTCAACATCAATACAGAAAACTCCCCTATGACTCCTGGTTCAAAAGCTCGCCTATTTTCATAATGGTCGCCATTTTCGTCTCGCGAAATTCACTTTTGGCCCATTTCCTAGCTTTACAAATAATTTCAGCTATCCTGCATTGTAAAATGCCATGTCACTGTAAAGAGTAGTTGTATCAAATAATTTTGTTACAAAAAACTGGCAAAATATTATATCAGTTTTTTTTTATTTTCAGCCATTTTAGTTAACACTGATTTTTCCATCTGTCTCTCAGTCCAAAATAGTGGCAAGTTATAAAACCTCTTTCTGTCAACATTTGGCTCTTTTTAAATCCTCTGTAGGTAGGATTCCCGATTCAAAATATTTTTGTTCAACATCAATAAAGAAAAAAAACTGTGACTCCTGCTTCAAAATCTCGCCTTTTTTTCAAAATGGCCACCATTTTTATCTCGGGAAATTCACTTTTGGCCCATTTCCTAGCTTTACAAATAAGTTCAGGTGTCCTGCATTGTAAAAAGCCATGTCTTTGTAAAGAGTAGTTATATGAAACAATTTGTCTCAAAAAATCTGCAAAAAAATTATATCCATATTTTTATTTTCACTTTTGAGCAATACCATGTGAGCCCAGTACCCACGGTACTAGTTTTTATTTTAGGCATAGATACGTTTGGTCTATATGCTGCAGGTAGATTTAATTATTTTTGATGCAAACCTTTGATCCATACTTCTTTATGCCAGGTATATAATGAAATTGAGGTTAGGATTTGTTATAAGGCTCAGTATTACTCAAAACAGGTATACATTTGGTCTAAAGATGTAAGCCATATTTATAAGGTATGTTTTAGGTGTATGGTGTAGATGTATTTCTGCTATACCTGTCTATAGGCTTACATGTATGATAATTATCCAGGAATCTTCAGGGATTGTAGTGCTTCATAAGAATTGTAAACTTGCAGTTTAGACACTTTTCAATCATTTTTAATAATTTTTCATCAGTATAGTGCAGACTTAGAAATACATAATCTTTTTTCACAAAATATGCCCTTTACCTTTCTAAATTTTTCATCCTTCAACTTGCTAACATGAGAAAGGTTGCGGTTGAACATTTTAAATCACTTAGTATTCTAGGTGCTTTATCTAAGGAATAAAGAATCATTTATCATTGTTTATTGGAAATTGAAAAGCAAGGGTGCATTTACTAACCAATATACATTGCATGATGGTGGAGCCTGAATGCATTATCAGGATGGGTTAGTAGATGCATGAATGCTTCAAAACTCACTTAAGAATAATACAGGTTCTTTGTTGCAATTCAAATATACTTTCACTCCATTATTGTCCAGTTCTTTATGAAATCACAATGCACTGTGATGATGTCACTCTTTTACCAATAATGGCACTGCTCAGTTCACTCATGAAACCAAAATGTACTGTAAAATAATATTTTTATTCAGTTGACAATATCACTGTTCCACAGCTGGATGACTCTAACTGCAGTGCATATACCTTGAATTAATACATCGAAATACTCAAAGCTGAGAAACACTTTGAATATTTGAATTTTTAAACCATTTCAGAATACTGTCTGACTCCTGCTTGCATCACAGCAGCCAGTGCGTTAGTGAACTCAATGGACCGAAGTGTCGACCCCTGTGAGGATTTTTATCAGTACACGTGCGGAGGCTGGATCAAGTACCACCCTATGCCTCAGGGCTACTCAACTTGGGGCACATTTGGAGTTCTATGGAAGCAGAACCAACTCGTCATGAAAAATGAAATAGGTGATTTCTAATGTTATTCATAGTAGGTAATAGAACAGCCTTGTAATTTGTCATAGACTTCTATGAAAAATGCCAATCTGAACACTTGTAGCTGGTCCAAGTAGTGTTTTGGTTAGACAGATTTTACTGTTATGGACATTCCTCACTTTAGCCAATTTTACTCATGTATGTGCAAATTGCAACTTGAATTTCTCCAGACAAAGATCATATCTTATGGAAAACCAATGCGTGTACTTTCAGAAAAACCTATGTCTGATATGAAATGTGAAGCAGAACGTAAAGCAAAAATGTACTATGAATCCTGCCTTGACAAAAATGAGACTATCCAAGAACTTGGTGCCCAACCTCTATTAAATTTTATAAGAGACAAGCTTGGAGGTTGGAGCATAAGCGACAGAGCTGGTCCATTTGATCCATCAAACTGGAACTTTCAAGATCTCTTAACGAAGATCCACAGATTTAACCATGCAACATTGTTCGCAGGAGGGGTGGGAGGCGATGATAAAAATTCCTCCAGAAATATTTTACAGGTAGATTTCTTTAATGTTGTTCATCCTGCATTTCATATTCTACTAGAATGTCAAAGGAAATTTAAGACTCAAGTTATGCTCAGAAGCAGATTTTACAGTTTTTTTTCATTAGAACTTCTATACATGTTTTTGGGATTAATTATTAGTTATTATCCTGCAAAAATATATATTATGTTGATTTGGTCCAAAATTGTTCCGAAAAAATGTTGTGAGCATCAATTAAATCTTGAAAAATGTAAAAGAACAATTTAGATTAAATTGTATGGAATTTTTCTGTTTCATTTTCATTATTTTTTAAATATTTATGTACGTATTTACAAATATTTGTCTTGTGATTATTTAGCGTCATATGGCAATTCCCTTAGACTTTGTAGAAGATGGAATTTATATTCCTTAACATGCTAGAAAGCAATGATTATTTGTTATGTGCAATTATATTATTGGTTATGTGTTATCATTAATGAATTTAATTCTGATTGATAGAACTCCATGATATTTGTCTGACATTTACAAATGACATTTAATGCTCTTAGCAATGAATTGTTGGATGAGACAATATTTAATATTATCCCACGATTAATGTGTTATCTGTACAATAACAGCTATTGATATTTCTGATATTATTGAAATCCGTGTGAAATTTTCCAGAAAATCGTTTATCAAACTCATATGCGTGTGATATCGTTTATCTCACGCATATTCGTGTGATATCACATTTGCATTTCGCGCCACAATATTGTTGGAAATTTGGTCAGATAATTTATTCTCTTTTGAGAAAATAGGTCTGCCAGTGTCCTGGAAATTGGATCAGAACATCACAAAGTGATTGTAGTCATGGGATAAACCCAATATCACATAATTTCTCGTGATATCATTTTATCGCCTCGTAGATATCAAATATCAACACTCATTCGCTTCGCTCACTCGTGTTGATATTTGATATCAACTCGGCGATTAAAATGATATCACTCAAAATGATGTGATATTTTGTATTTACAACACGGTTTCAATGCATTGAATAAAAGAGAATGTTAAATATAAGTACATGTTATATCATAAAAGGACAAAAACATTATCTTGTTATTTTTGAAAGATGGTAACCCCCATTCAAGTATGATATAGTATCAGTTATGTACAGTTGATTTTGATGAAGATTATCCCTTGGGACATATCAACATCTCATTTAGGAACCTTATATCCAAAACCTCCCAGTTCATAACCCTTATACATATTTTCATCATGTTTTATACTATTCTCCAGGTTGAACAGGGAGGACTGGATCTCCAAAGGGACTACTACATAAATAAAACAATAGATGATGATAAGGTATGTTGCATATTATTTTGAATATATTTAAGAAGTATAGACCGATGAGCAGGTATTATATCAACAAATAAATACCACAGCGCTAAGCAAAAATGATTTCTGGGTTTGAAATGGGCTTAAAAGCTTTTGTGCCTAGCCCTAAGTTATTTATTACTTGATATAATACATGTACCTGAATTTAGGTCTATATTACGATTTGAACAAAAAAACTCACAAAAATTTTGCTTTCGGAGCACTGAACGGAACATTTAGTACAGACCAGGTATTGTATCGAAGAATTAATACCATATTAATGAAATATTGACATTGTTATAGAAGGGGTAAATATTCATGATAATTATCAACATTCAATCTACACTTTGATGATCAATTTAACATTGACCAAAGGTTGGGGGTATTTGCTTATAGTACTATTACAGGGTGTCCCGAAAGTATGCGGCCCCCCTAGGCAGACATATTCCGGTGTCCACATAGGATGTGCCATATATCATTTTAAAGCTTATTCAAAGTTACATTGATTTTCCAAATATCATGGTTTAACTCCCAAATGGGAAAAAGTTACAGTCATTTTAAAAGTTAGTGTTTTGTCAAAATAAAGTTCAATTTTACACCACATTACTAGTCAATGAGTCCCCCCTTGGCCATGTTGACAGCAGCAATTATTTTCAGATATGACTCTTAAAACCTGTTAAGGCACTTTAGAAGAGTTTCCTTAGAGTTTCTACCCTCACCATTCTCTTTTTCCAACTCAATATCCATCCGACTCGAAAAGAATTGCTGCTGTTAAGATGGCCCAGGAGGACACATTGATTATTGATTTGGCGTAAAATTGAACTTTATTTTGACCAAACACTAAATTTTGAAATGCCTGTAATTTTTTCACATTTGAGAGTTGAACCATGATACTTGGTGAATCAATGTAACTTTGGATAAGCTTTAAAATGATATATGACACATACTATGACGACACTGGTATATGTCTGCTTAGGGGGGGGGGGGGCATACTTTCAGGACACCCTGTATACATGCAAAACAACATATTTCTGTCTTACTAAATTAAGTCTAAAATGAAACAATCCGTTTTCATCAAAATTGGAATAATCAAAGTATTACAGCAAAATTTTCAGAATGAGGTACATGTATTAAATTAGGTTGCATTTTTGACCATTCATGAATATTAAATGACGTGCCAGGAAAAGCAAGTACAATTTCATAAATTTGTGATTTCATTAAGATGTCATCATGTATATGGTCAGTTGCCTTAACTCACTTAGAAATGTTTTATTCAGACTACATTTCAGAAATCAAAGGTTATATCAAGGCCATTTGCTTTGATAATCTAAAAGGGCCTCAGTAAGATCGCTTCAATGTCCATTTGGTATTGTTCCATTTAATCAAGCTGCATTTGTGTATTTTTAGTACTTATCTGCCTACCTTAAGTACATGACAGACATAGGGGTGTTGCTTGGAGGAGAGAGGAATGCAACAGAAGAACACTTCAGAGATGTGCTACTCTTTGAGCAGTCATTAGCAGAGGTAAGGCTCTCCTTAAAGCATCTATCATATGAAGAGCTCCGCAACTATAGAGCACAATAATTGTTTGAGGGGAAGACATTCATTTATAGTAAAATCTGTTAATGAAACATCTCCATAAGTTGAATATTTTTCCTATGACCCATTGAGCTAAAATATTAAACCTCTCCAAGTGGAACATCCTTATCAGGCCCGTAAGACACTTTTCTCCAAGGGGGGTGCGGTTTTTAGCTTACTAAAGAGAATATAGAATTGTCAATTTTTTTGCCGCATAAATCAAATCGCGTAAGACAGAGGGGGGGGGGGGGGGTCAGTTACTCCCTATATTGGTTTGGAATTAACAAATGCAACTTCTAAACGTTCCAATTGTTTTTTGGGGGATGTGAGGAGTGGTCCACTCCTCCTAGAAAATTTTACAGTTTTGAGATGCTATTTGGTGCTTTCTGGGCTCACATTCAAAGTGTAAGTTTCTAAGTTAGTAGTACGCCACCACCACAAGAATAAGAGTTGAGTGAATAAAAAAATGAGCATTCAGGGGGGTCTGGGGGTTCTCCCCCAGGAAAATTTTGAAATTTGCTTGTATTTGGAACCATCTGGTACGCCTGTGCGTTATGAGTCAATAAGAAAAATGTGAATTTTTTTCAAATTCTTTTGGGGTGTCAAAGAGGATGAGAGGGTGAAGTTGGGTGGGGTGCCAGTAGGGGAGCAAGGGGTTGTCCCCCAGAAACATTGACCATATCAAGGTGCTATTTGATGATGTCTGGGCACTTAAAAAATGTCTGAGACAATACATGAAATTCAGAATATTTCTTTTGTTTTGTGGGGGATGTGAGGGATAGCTAACTCTCCTAGAAAATTTTACAATTTAAAGATGATATTTGGTGCTTCTGGGCACTTTTAAAGGTATTAGTCAATAAAAACATTGAAAAACAATCACAATTTTTTTCAAATTTTTGGAGTGTCAAAGAGGGGGGGGGAGAGGGGTGCCAGAGGGGGAGGTGGGGCTGAGGTGCCAGAGGGGGAGCAAGTGTTTGTCCCCCATATCAAAACTTACAATATCAAGGTGCTTAATTCCATTAGAAGTTTGGGCACTTTAAAAGTGTCTGTGCCTAAAAGCGCATATTTCCCAAGAAAATTTTACAATTTTAAGATGCTATTTGGTGCTTTCTGGGCACTTTCAAAATGTATGAGTCACTAAAAAAATTTGAAAAATCTCAATTTTTTGGGGGGGAGGGGGTGTTAAGGGGGGGGGGCTGCCAGAGGGGGAGGTGGAGTGGGGATGTCAGAGGGCGAGTAAGTGTTAGTCTTCCAGAATCATTTACTTTACCAAGGAGCTATTTGATGATGTCTGGGCAATTTAAAAGTGTCTGAGACAATACATAAAACAAATTCAGAATTTTTCCATTGTTTTGTTTGGGGTGTGAGGGGTGGCCCACTCCCCCTAGAAAATTTTACAATTTTACGACGCTATTTGGTGCTTTCTGGGCATTTTCAAATTGTATGAGTCAATTAAAGAATTTGAGAAAATCACAATTTTTTTTTGGGGGGGGGGGGGGTCAAGAGGGGGGGGGGGGCGCCAGAGGGGGGGGGGGGCGCCAGAGGGGGGGGGGGGTTATTCAAGTGCAAGATGCAAGAGGGGAGCAAGTCCCCCAGAAACACTAACTATATCAAGGAGCTATTTGATGATGTCTGGGCATTTAAAAAGTGTCTGAGACAAAACACTAAAATAAATTTAGAACTTTTCCATTGTTTTGTGGGGGGTGTGAGGGGTGGCCAATACCCCTAGAAAATTTTACAATTTTAAGATGCTATTTGGTGCTTTCTGGGTACTTTCAAAGTGTATGAGTCAATGAAAAAAAATGACAAAAAAAAATTTTTTTCAATTTTTTTTTTTTTTCAAATTTTTTTTGGGAGGTAACAAAGGGGGGTGCGGTCGCACCCATCGCACCCCCCCATCTGACGGCCCTGCTTATTAAGATGCAAATGTTTGTTTCCAGGTGACTACTCCAAGTGAAGAGAGGAGAGATGAGGAAAAACTATATCACAAGATGACTGTGGCTGAGTTACAAGAGAAAGTTCCTTTTGTAAGTGATCTTCTGCATGTACCTTGACAAAATAACTTTCTGTTAGGGATGCCCTCTAAAGATAACAGCATAGTTGAAATGAACAGCAATTTTTCTTTCATATTTCTTATCTAGTATTCTGAATGATAAAATGATAAAGAAACAATTTTTTCAAACCTCTTTTACACACAAATAATTAACAAATCTTTGAAAACGTTGTACCTGAAATCTGAAAACAATTATTATTTCAATGTTTTTTTCAGTTGAATTGGCTGAATTATTTTAATGATATGTTACTCGATACCAGAGTTCAAATTGACCAATCAGAAGAGCTTGTAGTATTTGCCCCTGAATACCTGGGTAATGTCTCGATGATGATAACAGAAATGTTAAAGAATGACACCCAGAAAAGGTAAGTTTGATTTTTGTCACCACCAAAAGTAACAATTTGTGACATTTTGGATGTTAATGCATTGTATTACATTTGAAATGTAGTTGCACTTCTCAATGAATATATTTCTTTGAACTCAACAACCAGTAGGTAGCTTATAGCTACATATAGCATTGTCTAATACTAGTAACATCTGTATCAAGAAAACATTTTTTACTTAACACAAAAATATGTCATGATATTTTAAACAATAAGAAATAGATATTTGAAAGGTTGAACAATTGAGACATTACCAACAATCATGGACCTAGTGTCAAAATTTAAGTTTAGATATTTCATCTCGGCTAACATCTATTTTCATTGTCTATAAAGAACCCCCCTGAATGAACGTTATTTCAGCTGAAATTCCTGCATTTAAAATCTTGAAATATAGTAATATATATCTTAAAAAGTATAAGTGGGACTTTTCTCATGGAAATTAATTTACACTTCTAAATGCTGAAATAGAAAGGCATGTCCATACATTTTAAGAAATATGTCTGACAAAGAAGATGTTAAGCCAAACGCTGCCCTAACAACTCGGCTTTTTGAAACAAAATCATATTTCATGTCTAGCTATGATTTCTACATGCTTTATTTTCTCTCTGCTAGGGTGCTACATACGTATATGGTGTGGGGGATTATCAAGTCACTCACTTCATACCTTTCAAAGGACTTCAAGGATGCAAGTAAAGATCTCATCAAAGTTTTTTCAGGTAAGAATATTATGAATTTTAAAGAGCTACATATATAATGTCATTAATTATTAATAACCTTGCTTTGTTGTAAGTTGGACATGAAGTATCATAGGAGAATAGTCTTTCTGTAAATGTCTTAATATAATCATGTTGACCTTATCAGTGATGATTTGCTTAGAAGTTTCATTAAGTTTTTTTTGAATAAATCTACAGAAAAGTGATAATTTATTTAGAGAGATGAGAGTTCCAAGAGAAAATATCTTTCAGGTACTACAGGGGAGGAGGAGAAATGGCGGACTTGCATATCTGACACAGATGACAAACTGGGCTTTGGTCTTGGTGCCATGTTTGTCAGAGCCACTTTTGATGGAAATAGCAAAGAAAAGGTGATACATTCTTGAGCTGATTCTCCCATTGACTGAAGTTTGGGTAGCAATATAGAGAAGCTTTCCATTCATGCGTATGTGTTAGATGATAACTCAAATAACAATTGTCTGATTGAGTTCATATTTTATTGGCTGATGCCATATTAGAACCTCTGCTAGAGAAGGAATCTTCAATATGAATACTCAAACAAAATGGTTGCCATTTTTCTATAAACTGTAATTTTTGATAATTCAAACCCTATTTTATTGTTGCATAGATTTATCACCCGACAAAGATCAAATATTTTCACACTACCATACATTGGATTACCTCTTATCATTGTTCATTGGTCTGATTATGTATTATATGTTCCATGTAAGGCTACAGAAATGATTGGGCAAATCAAGAGAGCATTCAAAGCAAACCTTCCAAATCTAAAGTGGATGGATGCAGCCACACGTAAAGCAGCTAGAGAAAAGGTAATTAGCAGCTTTGATTAAAACTGACAACCAACGGTAACTAATTCAGACAGAAAGTTCTTATATCTCAAGATCTCAAAAAGTTGTATTATTCATGGAAAAAAGTTAATTAAAACATAAGCAAACCTGACCATTATCGCTTTTAAAGTTAGATGGCTACCTTAAGGCTGCAATACACTGTAAATTTCATTTCCTTGTCACTTTTGTGAAAATACTGTGTACAACAGAGTATACATGTTTGTACCTTCTTGGTCTCTTTCCTCTGTATTTCTTCCTCAATCAAATGTGCAGTAAAACCTGTTGAATCTGAACACCAATTTGAGCAGTCGAAAGTGTTCATATTAGCAGGTGTTCACATTTTAAGGTTTTGTAAAATGGTAATTTATGGCAGATTAAAAAATGGGATCAAAAAGTGTTCACATTGAAAGGTGTTCAGATTAGACAGGGGTCCAGATCTAATTACTCTAAATTACACGTTCATTTAATTTGTTAATACAATATTTATTTCTAGGCTGATGCAGTCATAGATATGATTGGATTTCCCAAATTCATAATGGATCCAAAAAAGTTGGATGAAAGATATGAAAAGGTGAGATGAAATGCCATCCTTCTTCAAAGGACTTCATTTATGCTTAAATTCAGCCCTTCACTTAAGCCCAGTTAGATTCATTTTAGAGGTCATAAAAAAGCTGAGTTTCCTAGTGGTCAAAGCAGAAAATGCGTTTCCAATCACAATACTCTATACTAAATTCAATGGGCATGTTTTGTCCTCCTTCTGTTTATGACGACCCCAAATAGGATGCAAATTACTCATAAATTGGATTCTTAAAGAAAAATGCATCCAAACTGTGGCAATAAACTTATTAGTGAACATGTAATGCCTGTTTATCACTGTGAACATTCTTAGAAAATCTTTGTTTATTTTGACCCTTGATTGTAACAATGGTTCTGATTTGCTAGTGATTTTATTTGAAAGTTTGTTTGCACAATCCCAACAATTGTATAGGCTGCACCAAGGGTATAGTATGGAAAGAAGTGAAATACCCTTGGACCAAGGATGATGAAATGGCTGTGTCCACATTATTGAATATAGATCATTAATTATATAGTGTACATAACTGTAATCGGATATGTGACATCACAATTAGTCTACTGGAACAATTGAATTACTGGTCTAAATGGGGTATTATTATTGTCATTTTGATTTATGCTATTGTGCCCTGATGTATCACAATGAATGATAAACACAGTTCAATGATATAAGTAACTTATTACAAGTAATTTATTGCTAGAAACCTAGATATAAGGGAGAGCCACAAAATACCAATAAAGCCATATAATGGAGTGGCATCAAGTCCCCTCCCACAATCGATTATATTGTCTGAACTCTGACATTTATCTGAGGTAGAATAAGAGGGAAGTTGGGGGGGGGGGGTGACGTAACAGGTTGATACAAAACAAAAGTATTCATTTGAGATTGTATTTGCATGTTTGAATTTCATAAGGAGACCTAGTTAGTATATATCTCTGAAATGATAACACTTGCAATCTATTAGTATATTTTGTTCCAGTTGGACATAGCTCCAGATGAGTACTTCCAGAACAATCTTAACAATATGAGATACAGCTTCAACAGAAATATGGAAAAATTACGAAAGCCACCAGATAAAACAAGGTAACATTAAGAGATTGTTGATTCCGTTCAATGCTATCAATGACATAATTTTAGATACTTTTTATGAATATTGTTGTCAGTGAAATCTGCATAAGTGGAACACATTGGGACCTCAAAATAATGTTCCACTTAAAAGGTGGAATTATTCCAACCATAATCAAATTACTTTTGCCTCCTAATTGATTGGATAGTGGCATATTAATGATACAACGTATGTATGTGTGTTTCTAGCTGGGGGATGACCCCTCCCACTGTTAATGCTTACTACACTCCTCAGAAGAATGAGATTGTATTCCCAGCAGGAATTCTACAAACTCCTTTTTATGACCAGAATTACCCTCAGTAAGTCAATTATAATATGGTTTAAATGTCACAGAAAATGTATTCATATACATGTAGTTTAAATTGACAAGCTCACAAAGTAAGAACCCAATTCTTATAACTGATTTTGTGCTACTTTCCTATACTGTTATGAGCAAGGTTTAAAGGAGGAAGAGTCGGTGACATCACTTCCTGTCCAAAATAGTGCAGCCTTGAAATGAGCACTGCAACGTTAGATAATCAATTTTGATTATACCTGAACATTTTTCATGTTTATCTGAATATAGAAAGATAATTGGTTGTACCTATACAAAATGGGGACACCTAGTAAACGCAAGAAATATACCTTTATGCTTAATGCTTGACCTATTTACTTTTAGATCTCTAAACTTTGGTGGAATGGGTGTTGTGATGGGTCATGAGCTTACTCATGGTTTTGATGATCAGGGTAGGTACATGTAGTTAAAATCCAGTGCCTGTTAATAAAGCAAATAAACCTGACTGTTTAGTTATTCTGTGGTTGACCTAAAGATGGCATTGTCTTTTGATTCATGATATTCATAAAAAAGTAAATATAGAATACCTATATAAACATTCACCTTACCTTGATATAATATGTATGAATCTGTCATAGCCTAGAATGCAATTTTGATAAACTGAACTTTGACCTTGCATGGGACATTGACCTTGAAATGAAACCTTAACCTCTCACAATCCTTTACCTTCAATACTAATTTTGAATTATTGATTAGCCTTTAACCTGGGGTCCATACCCCTGTTTGGTTTGAGACCAGGGTAGCTGTAAAGCTTATAGTGATTCTAGGTTTAATATATAACGAGGACAAAGGCAATCAGATAAACAAACAAACAAACAAACAAACAAACAAATAAACAAACAAACCTTAAGAGAAAAATGAATATACATTCAGCAACTTAAATATTCTCTGATTTTGTTCTGCAGGTAGGGAGTATGATAAGAATGGTAACTTACGTCCCTGGTGGAACAAAGAATCTGTGACAAAGTTTAAGAATGCTACCAAGTGTATGGAAAACCAGTATTCTTCATATAAACTAGGTGATGAAAATGTGAAGGGGAAACAGACCCTGGGAGAGAATATTGCAGATAATGGAGGCCTAAAATCAGCATATAATGTAAGTTCCAGCATGGACACGACATGAAAAAATGAATTGGTGTCTCTGTTTAAAACTGTGTTTCTAAATAAAACCACATCCATTTCTTTCTGCCCACTGAACATTGCCCAATGGGAACTGTTGTCAAAACTATCAAGAACTAAAAATGTTGAATAAAGTAATATTTAGCCATCCACTGTACTTCATTGCACACAGAGACTATTCTGATGAAAAGAATATCTTAAAGGCATTAATTAAGAATTCTGTGTATCCTTCATAGAAATAGCCTACAATATATTCAATTAGATTTATGTTTCATGCTTAGGGTGTAAATATATAATTTCATGCTGACAAATTGTAACTTCAGGCTTACATGGATTGGGTGTCTAATAATGGAGAAGAGTTACCATTACCTGGGGTCAACCTAACACAGAAGCAACTCTTCTTTATGGGATTTGCACAGGTATTATTGGCTATATATGCATACACACTAAAACAAAAGTAAAATGTTTTTATTTGAACACCTCCCTAATCTTAACACCTTTCACAGTAAATTTTTTTCAGATATATTTTTATTCCCAGTTTTCAAAGCGCTGCATTTTTCTCATCTTGTGATGATAGGCATGCGACTCTCTGGGCAGGCCGGCACACGCCTCATAAATATTGTCATCAAAATTCCAGGAAAGATGCTTACCTGTTCAACTTTTTACTGATACAAGAGAAGAGTCAAGATCTGAATTACTTCATCAAACTCCCATAGTTCATTTATTCGATCTTAAATATTTCCAAGGATGAAAGTGTCCCATTTTTATTGTCAACCCTGTATATTCAGGTATGGTGCACAACTAGTACAGCTGAAGCCGACCATGAGACAATCATTGGTGACCCACATAGTCCAGGAAAATTCAGGTAAAATCACCGTCTACTGACAGAGGTTCATTAAGGACATTGTCTCTCTCCATCATCTCATGGTCTCCTTTATAAAGCAATTAAAGCAATTATTTAATTAAATGAAATGTAGGGTCAACATTCTATTGGACCAGTAATTTTTATTCATTTATTTTTTAATAAAAGTTATAATTATATATTTTTTGCAATTCCGGTCACTAACACTTTAGCTTGTTCTTTAGTGGAAAGGTTTGAGAGGGATATAGCGAAATTGCGTTCGAGTGATTTGATAAAATATGTTTTATTCAATGGAATTTGATTCTCCAGGGAGTTGCTGATTTTTATTACTAAACAGTATTTACATTGATTTTGTTTTTCAGGGTGATTGGTACATTGTCAAATTCAAGGGACTTTTCCGAACAGTTTAACTGTAAAAAAGATGCCCCCATGAATCCACAGAAAAAGTGTGAAGTCTGGTGAATGATACACATATATTCCAAGAAGTGACATATATTCCAGATGTACATTTATAAAAGACTAGCAATCGGAAATTGTGTACAAGTACGGGGTACCATTAAGGGATCAACAAATGTGTGTGCTTCCCAACTAAACTTTTAATGAACTCTAGTTTATACACATCTGTTCAAATAAGAGAAGCAGTTGCAACCGGTTAAGATGAGATTACCTTGCTTTGCCATAAGAAAAACCGTTACCTGTTGAGTGATGGACATTAGACATGTATCGAAATGCAAGGAAGATTAGAGCAATGAGAGTTGAATTCAAAACACAAAAGAAAAATTATACACAATGTAGTCTCTAGTCTTTGATCCAGAGTGTCTTGACCTTTATATGATGTGTATGATTTTTTAATAATACAGTCAGCGTTGGACATATGATGGAAAATATCCATTTACTTGTATAAAGTGTAGATTGCTGAATAATGTTATGTTGAGATCTGATCTTGTCATCCCTCATAGCTTTATGAAAGCTGATATAATTGCCTAAATGAAAGTACTTACGTGTAAGCATTGCATTCAATTTAAGCATTTTATTTTTTGTAAGCATTTTATTTTATGTACAGTATTGTATTTTATGTACATTCATTGTAATAGCATACTGTGTACTGGTGTGCCAATACTGTTTTATATGTGCAATAAATAAATGAGTAAATGGATAAAATAGCCAGTTATATAACATAGACCCATATTTGTACTTCACAATGAGTAAATGGATAAAATAGCCAGTTATATAACATAGACACATATTTGTACTTCACTGCAAATACATTAATGATTAGGGTCAGGTCTAGTAAAAATCATAAATAATAGCATCCACGTTCACAGGTTCAACGGTAAACGTTGAAACGTTGGCAGTCAGCAGTTGTTATCTACGAGACTATAACAAAGAAAGTCTTTTTTGTGCTTTGTCTTATCAGCTATCTAATAGGTTAGCAATCATGAACGTTTTATAAAGACTGATTTTGAAAATTTACAATGTACCATACCATAGTATTTGTATTTAAAAACAGAGTTGCAATATGTGATCCGAAATCTATGGGCAATTTCATAAATATATATACTGCAATATACTGCAATACTGAATTTTTTCTTGGCAGAAAAATGTTCATTATACACAGGTTTTAATGTATTAAGTTGTTCAGATATTTATTAACTACAGGGACCTTGATAATAATGTGATGTGAGTTTATTCAATGTTGGCGTTTTCAATGATAAAGGGCCATACGATATAGAACACTATATTTTAAGCATAATAAAAACAAATGCCAGACGTGTAGGTCCACTCAGACAAGTCTACCTGTATATTGGAAGAGTTAAAATAATTTAGTTGTCATAGCAACATAGTGCATATGAATCATTGTAGTATCGGTAATGTAATGCTGTGTTTGCAATTTGCCTTTAACTAAATCTAATGTTGTAAATACGATATATCCTTATATTATCTTTCATTCTCCCTTTTGATCATCTCTTATGTGGTATCTTTTAGAATAATATACGGTACAATTACTTGCATTTTTGCCATATTTTAGGCTCATAGCTAGGTTTATTTTTTTACCTTTCTTAAACCCAATTGAGTGACCCTATATATTAGATTCAGTTAAAAATACAATATCATGTTTAATGACCTTCAAACGACATTGATATATATATTTGACCTTGACATGGCCCATTTAGAATGGATGACACGAAGCAATTACTTTTAATGCGAAGCAAAGTGTTGGTTGACTTTGTGAACCTGATCTCGATCGCTGAGATAGATGTAATAATGATACATAATCCAATTTGACATTGACAGATGTCATTCACCCGTAAATGAAAGTTAAAACTTTCATTGTCTCCGCTCCAGAGATGAATAGCTTTAGAAAATGAAATTATTGATTGACCTTGGATGACCTTCACTTTCCTGACTACTTACACAAAATGTATACATTCTAATTCTATGGTAACACTACATAAATCATTCATCGACATGGAAACAAAGAACAATGAATGTGAAGGTGACATTTGATAAAACAATATTGTAATACGAGTCACTGATCCCAGAAGATATTTACGTGAACTTGTATAACACTAATTTAATCAAGATGTCAAATTAAGATATTACATTAAAGGAAGGAAACGAGACGCTACAGGCCTGATACAATAGCAGAGATTCTGTGAATTGCATTCGTATTGATTGCAAAATAACTTCAATAGAATGAGGTCTTTACAGAAATGTTTCATTAGTATACTTGCATTTAGATAGTTAGTATTCATGTTAAGTAGGTTTAGAGTTGAAGAAGATGAAAGCGGTAAACACATTGTTTGGTGCTAATTACCATGGTAGTCAGTAGGGAGGTTTTTAAAACTTGTACGTGAACGTATAGAATTATGGCCCTCTGTGGATTAGTTCTCTCATTTGTACTGTTTACTTGGGCGATTGAGTATTACGGTATACGGGAAATAATTGTCCCTGTCCCTGGAAAATTGAATTGAGAGCTGGACAGTAATTCCCATGCAGGGTCGAAATATTAAGCGCTCACGTGCAAGTTCTCTTAAAAACCTTCAAGGCCTCCTCACATATGATCGAAAGCCCCCGACGTCATCTTGCATTTAATGGAGAACAGGGGTTCGCTCTCATCAGTATATGCACGTTGCATATCGTAGGTGTGTTTGTATGAGTAAATGTTCATTCGGAAATCTTCGGAAATCTTCGGAAGCATGCGAAACGATGCGCTTTGGTTCGCATATTCACGTTCCCATCAAATCTAAAAGACTACGCTAAGTGGATTCGTTCATATGTGAGGGGAGCTTAACATCCCGGATTAAAGGGTTCGCATAAATATGTTTTATGTTTATGTTTTACGTCCGTATTTATGATAGGTCGACGAATCTGAAAGTAACTAAGTTTATTATACAGGTTCTATGTTTATAGTTGTGAATATATAAATATGTAATTTTTGGAAAATAAATTACATTGTAATCAAGCAGTATGTTGATTGTGTTCGGTTAATGTTTTATGGAATTGCTTAGCATATTTTGTGAGGTCCTCTCTTTCTCAGTCATCCTCCGTCCGTTCGTCCGTCTGAAAATTACCCTAGCATATACAAATATTGAAATCTGTGGAGTTGAATATTTGTATATATTTCTGAGGGTGTCATTGTAATCAAGCAGTATGTTGATTGTGTTGTATGGAATTGCTTATTTCGTGAAGTCCTCTTTTTCTCAGTCATCCTCCGTCCGTTCGTCCATCCTCAAATAACTCTAGCATATATGCGATATATGAATTTAATTTTTAATATGAACAGATATAGAACGGACAATGTCATCAATTGGCATATACGATATATATTTTACAAATATTGAATTGTGGAGTTGAATATCTGTATATATTTCTGAGGGTGTCTTCCCGCAGCCCGAATGGAGAGAACGCGTATCTCAGCATGGAAATAATAATGGGCAATATCACGCTATGCAATAACTGTGTTGACATTTTGTCATGCTAATGCCTTGTAGGATATTCCCTTTTCTCCCATCCTTCATTCAAAGGGCTTCATTTTTTCCTCAATTCAATTGAAAGAAGTGAAAAGATGCGCTTCTGTTAGCAACAATAACACGCGGTACTAACTTCGACCGTTAATTTGAATTTTTGACCTACCAGATGCTTTAAAATCAAGGATTGCGAGTCTCATATAGCAATTATTGCATATAATTTTTCTGATACGGCATTAGAAAATTAAAAATGGCCGCCTAGCAGGAATTCGATATAAGTTAGAGATATCTTCAAAGTATGCTTATATACTACATTAGATAGTAAATATTGAATTGTTTTCATAATTTGTGCCTTTGATACTCCGAAATGGTCACCCAAATGCTTAAATTGGTTGAAAATTGGATATATCTCCATTTCTGTCCCTTATTATCTAGGGTATAGTAGATGGTAAATATTATATTGTGACGATTCGTGAATATTTTGTTCGTTGGGATCTGCTACTTGATGGAGCTTCCGTTTCCTAGTTGACGTTTGTTGACTAGGCTTGAAAAATTGTTAATCTGGAATATTCTTAGAACTTTTTAATACATAGATATATGTTGGAGATGACGTGCGCAATATTTAATCCATTTCTTGACAAAATATGAGCAGTACCATTTGCGAATGTTAAAAGGCAATGGTTTCAGTCCAATTGTAAACGCCTCAAAATACAGGTAAGTATTTGTTATAAAATTGGCATTTCTTAAACTAATATATAACGGCACCCCCTCTACAGCAAAAAGTACTTATTGTTACATGGTGTGTCATATATCATTTTAAAGACAATTTAATTCTGGAGTTACCTGAGAAATTTCAGCTTTATGTCTTACAATTTTACAGATTTACAGCTGATCCTTAGTAGTTGGTATGACTACCAGTTGCTGCTCGAACAGCAGCTTATCTGGATGGATAAGATTTCAATAAAAATTCAGATAAAGGTGTAGCATTGCATAATCCTCTAAGCACTTTTCTCAAATTCTTCAGAATTACATCCTTACTGTATCTTTTTTCAAGAGGCTCTTTGTCCATCAATTCCTATACCCTGTTTTTCAGAACTGAGCCCATATTTTCAGTACAGTTGAAATCTGGGCTAATTCTTTCATATTCCACTTTCTTAAGATTTGACCTTTAACCAGTTACAGACCAGCAAACAAAGTACCGAAGTAGCAAACTTTGAAACAACGTAGCTTTTTTAATATAAAGTTTTATAAAATGAAATTTGATAAGTAACTCCAGAATTAAATTATCTTTCAAATGAGGTATGACACAATATGTAACATTAAGGACTTTTTGCTGTAGAGGGGGGGGGGAGTGCCGTTGTTTTTTGACACCCTGTACATCGTTTAAAGCATACCCTTTGCATTCGTTCGACCTCTTAAAAGAGAGCTTCATTTTTATAACAAGACTGTGCGCAGGGTATTCGAAGCAGGGGTATTATATCCACTCATCAAAGATAAAAAATCGTTGGCGGTATTGTTGCTTGCTTGTTGGCATATATTTTATAAACAATCAAAACTGTTATTCACATGTTTAGTCATACATATGTATTAAATATCGTAGCTGGAAATTCACGTGCTAATTATCATTCTACGAACACAGGGCTCTATACACCGCCCACTATGTTCGTTTCCCCTTTCCAAAGTAGAGTGGAGGATGTTAAAAGCTCTGCGTGTGGAGGATTTTAGCCTGATTGAAATTTTAACAGTGAATAGTATATTTCGTTTATTCGTCCTTCTTACATCTATTTATGAAAGCATTGAAAATTAATAGTATATTTTTGAGGGGATGGTATTAAATCTTATGTTTTGGCAGTCGTAAACCTCAACTTGATAGATTTCCCAACAATGGTGGGTAAATTCTTTGTCACATTGTGAACTTCTATTTTAGATATAGTGCTTGCATCAACTTTTGTTTGGTATTGTTACATGTATATACAGTATATGATTTCTTTTGCCAGATCTATTCTTCAGTTAGGAGCGACTCGAGATCGTCGATGGCGTCCGTCAATGTTGCATCCGTTTGGGCTTGACTTGTCATGGATATAGATCCAACAAGGCAATTTAGATCTTCTTCTGTTATATGATTTGTGTTAAGAAGTCTATCGACTATGTCTGTTGAATCTGTCTTTTCAATTTGTTCATTCACGGTGACGGTTTGCGATGTCAACGTGTCGTTATTTTCGTGTTTTTGCCTTATCACAACAATATCAGCCTTATCCAAATCCGGATCGGTCAGAAGCATATCAGCATATTCGTCTATAGTAAGTGTCTTTTGATCCTTATTTGTATTGTTTTCCGAATCCAGTTTCCAAATGTTTGCGTTAAAAGAATTGTCATCGCTTTTCTCGAGAAACCAAGCATTGACATCATTATTGTCCTCACTTATTGCCGTAGATGAATTAGCTTTATGAAAATTGTTTTGTTCCTTTATCATGTTATCAAATTCGTGTTCAGACATATCATCAGAATCGGCATCATCTTCCATGCGTTCGTCGGTTTCTGCACTTTGCTTGATATTATTCACATCAGTGATGGTTTTCTTGTGTCGCCCAGATTCGAATTTGATGCCGATGTCGGAATCATTATTTTGTTGATCAACAATGTTTTCCCCTGGTTTATTTTTAATATCTATGATATCGTCTTTGCATTTACCCCAATCGTTTTCAATAGGCTTTTTATTAGTTTTATCTTCGGAAATCAGCTGAGTGTCTACTTCTATTCCTTCATCATTGCTAAATTTCAACACAGGATCACTTCGAATATTTTCACATTCAACAACGGAATCATTGTTCGAAGATGTTACAACAATGTCATCCACGAATAATTTGTTGACCTTGCAGTTCTCTGGTTTCTCTTTCATCAGCCCTGCATCCATTGGTTTAATGTTCAAAATATCGAGATTTCTTTCTGGGGTAGATGTGTTAGTTCTTTCAGCATCTAAGCATACATGCTTATCACTTGTTTCAACAAGCGTCATGGAAAATTATTACCTTTGAACATATTCATTAATGCTAGTAATTATTTGTTCAAGAGGCCGTTCTGGCGAAACCACCTCCGGGTTTGCGAATCTTCCTAGTAATTTTGTAATGCTGCATTAGTAGCCGGTATATTTCCTTATCCGAACCATCTTCTAATACCAGCAGTTATATTCAATCCATTGGAAATGATTGGAAATGTATTGCTTGTTAACATGACTTTGAGCCCTCTCCAAATAAAACATTCATCACTCGCTAAAGACGTATGACAAATAAACCAGTCTAACATCTAGATTCTTGAACATACATGTAGCTCGTTGGAATGATTCAATATTAGCGGCTTTCATACGATGATCACTATCCATTGCGTAAGAAGGCGGCCTTTGTCATTGTAGTTGCTACGAGGGAAGATCCAAAAGTTTCCGGCCTAACATAGTTCCCGATGTCTGAGAGCAACCATTCTTCACAGTTCAAATGTTGCTTATGTATGAACATAATTTATGCATATGATTAATCTCTAGGGGTCACAGCCTCATTTTGAGAATATTCATAATGAGGTCAGGTCACAGTGGCTGCACATCAGTGATCACAATGGAGAAAACTGAATATAGAGCTGTGATAAAGTTTCTATATCAAGAAGAAAATGGAGGGCAGGAAATCTACGATAGATTTAGGATGTGTATGGGGAAGGTGCTCCCTCCTATTCTACTGTAAAATTTTGGGTGGTTAAATTTAAACGCGGACGGGAATCAATTGATGATGCACCACGTTCTGGAAGACCTAAAGATGTCACTTCAGATAGAAATGTTGATCTTCTACATCAAACAATATTGGAAGATAGGCGGAAATCTATACGTGAACTTGTAGAAGAAACTGGATTATCATATGGCACCGTTTGTAGAATAATTCATGAAGATTTACACATGCAAAAGTTAAGCTCAAGATGGGTGCCACGCATGCTCACAGAGGACATGAAAACAAAACGAGTTGCTGTTGCAAGAGAGCTTTTGGACATGTATAACACTGATCCACAAGGTTTTATGGAGAGAATAGTCACTTGTGATGAAACATGGATGCGTCATTTTGAGCCTTCAACCAAACATGAGTCAATGCAATGGAAACATATGGGGTCCCCACCCCCAAAGAAGTTTCGCACCACCCCATCCAACAAAAAGATGATGGCTACCATTTTCTGGGACTGTGAAGGTCCTATCTTAGTAGACTACCTTCCAAGATGTACTACAATGAATGGAGAATATTATGCTGCTTTGTTGCGTACTTTAAAAGCTAAACTTGATGAAACCAGGCCACACAAAGTCCGTCTTGGAGTTTTGCATCAACAGGACAATGCACCTGTTCACACAAGCCAAGTTGCTCGTGATGCAGCAGAAGAATGCCATCTGGAATTATTACCGAATGCGCCCTATTCTCCAGATCAAGCACCCAGTGACTATTACCTATTTGGGAAACTCAAAAAATCTCTACGAGGGCAACGCTTTGATGTTGATGATGAGGTCAAGATAGCTGTTAACCAGTGGTTGGAGGGTAATGCTCCTGATTTCTTCAGAACTGGACTTGAGATGCTGCCAAGAAGATGGGCCAAGTGCATCGAAGTACAGGGAGACTACATTGAAAAATGACACTATCATTTTGAAAATCCATCAACTAGAACTATGTTAGGCCGGAAACTTTTGGATCTTCCCTCGTAGATGCATAGTGAACGTCGGTTTTACTTGTCTAATTAGCCATCGCCGGTTCTCATTTATAGTGACATCTAGCATTTGTTGTTATGTTCCAATGGTTGTATCTGTCCATCCATAATTTAGTATGACACATGTACGTAGTGATCCCAATGAATAAGTCATGATGTCTGTAGGATCATGGACCTATATCCTCGAGGATATAGGTCCATGGTAGGATCCACATACAATGTCAGTGATCTGTCTTTCATTTTAACAATGGAGGCCAAATCAATTAACCCTTTAATTTCCGATTTTCAGTTGTCACGACGTCCTTATTTTTTGTCACCAAATTAAAAAGTGACACATGATCTATAATTACACTGCGTGCAGATTTTAGTTACAAACTGCTGAAGACGAAGGTCTCTTTTAAGAAATGAAGTTGAACGAATGCAGAGGGTAATCTATAATAAGTGGTGTCAAAGAGAAACATATGATACACAGGGTAGCAGAATAGATTTTGATGTAGCCAATGACACCATTTATGAAATGTTCGTTATCGAATGTGCAAATACATTTTACAATATAAATATGTATTTCAAATAGGTACGCTTGAATTGTAATGATAAAATGTATTTAGAGTCATTTAACTTGTAAATATGTAAATATTAATAACCCTTTACTTTTCTGTAATATATGTTTGTAATGTGATATGCATGTATAAATTGTTTTGCTCTCCAATAAAACGGAGGAAATAAAGAAACATAAACATATACAATGATATAAGGTAAAAGAAAATAGTAATATAAAAGTTACAGGTACAAAAAGTTAAAATGCCTTAACATCGTCTCTCTGCATGGAATGAATGTTAATCGAAACAGAACAGAGAGAATCAAGGCTATCCGAGCCAAAACTCAAATGATTTATATCAAAAATGAAGCCCAACTTTTCATTTATTGTATGACAGCCTTCACTTTCTAAAAGCATGGTTAGTGTATGTCGCTCATGAGAAAGTGCGTATCACAACGCAATAAGAAAAGCTTGTTCAATTGTTGAAAGCAACAAGGCTCGGAACACTATAGCAATGTACCAACAATTATAATCACGGGTTATCATCATCCACTTTAGGGGAGCACGCTATTTTACATAAAAAACACTAATAGTGGGGGGAATTTACCCCTATATTTGGCAGAATATTTCAGATGGTGATACAAGTATAAACTTTTGCTTTTCTACTACTTCAAACCTTTTTGAAAAAATCTGTCTCTGTGATCGATGGATTTTTTTACTTTTTCCCGCCAAAATCCAAGATGGCCGACACACTATAGCTCGGATAATATATTTAGCTCTGATTTGGCAAATACAGCTGTAATATAAAGTTTAAATTGTGTTTTCAGGACTAAATGCACTTATAGGGACACCACATAATACATGTCATGAGCTTAAGTCAAAATAAATAATTATATGGGAGTAAAGCAAGGTTCATTTCTGGTCCCCCTCTTATTTTGTTCATTTATAAGTTTGTATAACCCTACTCCTATGAATTAAGTATAATGAGTAGGATTGCTCTTAAATTTTAGATTTTAATGCTCTGCTGTATATCAAATTAGTTTGTATAAATGACCGTAGCCTTAAGAATTGAAGGATTTTCTCAAATAAATGGTTTATCTAGTGCAGACATTTACCATGTATTCACAATTACAGACTATTACAGCGACATCATGACCAATAAAAGGAAATCCAATTATTCATTGAATTTTGGTTGAGGTAAAAAATATTAATAAGTCCATCAATGTATTCTATGCATTATTGAGTATGAATATGAAATATGTGGTTTTCCACGACTCTTCAGTAAGAAGGAATGAAAAACCCAGCAGGAAGGTGAATTGAAATTTGAGTAAGAATTTGCAAAATTTAATGTAACAAAAATCTACCATTATTTGTAGAATTTTGATTAAGTGTAAAATATTAACTCATCCCATAAATGTATCTTATGCATTCTTTCACAGTGTCCAACTCAAACGCTCTTACATGCACAAAGGAATGTTTCATTCATGCGGAAACGGGGCTAATGAAGATCCCACTGTGACCGTAAGTATTGTTTCACTAGTTTCTCTTTCATATCATATGTTATGGTGAAATATTATGTACCATTTGATGAACAATACTCTGAGCAGAGATCTTATTTATTCAACTTCTGATGGTAAACTGTTATTTGCTTGATCAAAGCTCCATAGTGTAGATAGAACAAATCTGAAGTTGACGTATTGACCACAAATTACGAATTAAACTAGTATTTATATGAAATTGTCCATCTTTCTGTCAAAGTAGTAGATCACAAACTTGTTTATTCTCATTTGCTGAAAGTCCAAATCCATTACTTGTTTTTGAGAAATTGCTTGTTTTCCTCGATTGTTTCTGTCGATTTTGGACAAAATTTTTGAAACGTTCTTACTATTTTGTTTTGATATCATTTTCAGATTATTAGAGAAACGTTCGGAATGGAATCTATCTCTAAAAAACCTTTTGTACTTGTTAAGTAAATTGAAACTTCTCAACCTGGTGGTGCTACACGTGCAACAAATCAACTAAGCCTACATTAGATGATGCTTTGCCTAATGTGTGCTATAAAACAAAACTATTGACAAAAACAAAAAGATTATCTGTGAATTAATCTTTCTTCTTTTGATGCCAAGGGATACAATAGATCTTTTCTTTCTCTTCTTGAAAAGGAAAGTTGAGCTAATTCCTAAACATATCTAGCCTAGTACCGCAGCGTTTCCAGTTCACTGTGTTAACCAGATCACAGCATTTCTTGAATATGAGAATGTCATCATTTTTAAGACTTAATTTTAGGTTATCAAATCACGATTACGATAATGTATTGTGTGATCAAGGTTTGGAATTTGACCAAAATATACTCTGATGTTCAACTCAACTAGTCGCATGTCTCGACAAACTATACTGCTTCATTCAGCTCTTCCTAATTGCTTCAAACGTCAACAGTCATCCAAGTACAATATATCATAGCCATCAAATGGTATACTTAAAATAAGTAACACATACTTCTTATTCCCATTATTGGGGAAATTGTCAGATGACTCATCATTCCCACTGGCCATACTCCAGAGCGTTTCTTTGTTTAGTTTCAGTAATGAAATGCTCAATCTTGCATGTAAGAGCGTTTGGGTTGGACACCGCGTCCTTTAATTGTGAACATCAAATATGTGGTATGTCATGTCATGGAAGGAAACGATTGGAGGGAAGTTAATTCGAAAGTTGGGTAGGAATTTGCTAGTTAGAAATGAGTGTTTTCCATATATGGAACACAAAAGAAAATAACATTG